TCGGGGCCTGCAGGAAGGCGCTCTTCACATCCAAAGCCGACATCAACCATCCTTCGTGAGCCGCTTGGCGTACTGCACAGCGAATCAAAATGCGCCATCAGCTCCACTGGCGTAACTTCCCGCCGGTCCAGGTGAAGGGTCAGCGGTCTCTGATGCCATGTTGCCACAGATCACCGCCCGAGCCCGATGTGCTCCTGTCCCTCCTTTCTTCACACAAACCATCTTTCCTGGCACCAATTCCGTGTCCGGAGGGAGCAGCTCACGAGCCATCGGTTCCACCGCCTCCGTATCCTTCACCAGTACACCGTACTCATACTGAAAGGCCGGTACCCATTCTTGAGGATGTGCTCGAACTTCATGAAGAGGTACCGTCACTGTTTGGAGGACATCCGGCTCTGACACCTGGAGGCTGCATAGATGGATTGGAGTGTCCCTTTCCACTCGTCCCAACTGAATCAAGTTGTCCTCCAGTTCATCCCGCCATCCCACAAACAATTCCACTTCATGTCCTTGTTGAGCACCTTGAGATGCATTTCGGGGAACACCATCCACCAAATTGGACACTTGTTCTTGTAGTTTCGTATGATGCCATTCCCACGTCTCCTTCACGAGCTCCATGAGCAGCCATCTCCCAGCAGACTCTTCGTCACTGCTGGTCCTTTCAGCGGGAACCCCCACTGTCATAGCCCTGACACCCCTTGCCGAGGCCGAAGTTGAGGATTTAGGGAAATTTTCAGGCGCATCTTCCCATAATCTCGATGTCGCAGCTTTTGGCCTTGTCGGTGAAGACGACGAAGAATACTCCCCCCCCCGCTGATGATGGACCAGGAGCAGTGACCACCGCCATAGTGTCCCCCAAGCGTGGAGTATTCCCTAAAGGCTGTTTGCCAGTCAGTCTTCGATGTGGTCGCCCGGACGATCGTCTTCTTCCAAATGGAGCTGCACCATGTCACCTTGTACCCCTTGTTGAGTACGAAGTTGTTCTCCTTCGTGGTTGGTTTGTACTGCTTCTCTAACATGAAGAACCCGACCATCTTGTAGTTGTACCACCCAACCCCCATTGACCAAGTGACTAGGACATAGGACGAGGGCCTCCACAAATGGTGCAACGAGTCCTCCATCTTTGTGCCATTTCTTGACCTTGACCCATACCTTCCCCCGATAAGGTAGCATAGGCACCCCCAAGTTTTCCAGCTGTTGACGACTTCGTTCTGCCGCCACATAGCGGATCGCGTCTGGCCACGACCCCACCTCACAACCGTGTTTGGCTAGCTTGAGGCGAACTCTTCTTTTGATTTGGTGCACCTCTGACTCAGCATGTCCATTTGAGGCTGGATCATCCCCTGCTGTAGTTGTAGGACAATCCCATTTTTCGCACACCAAGCGGCCATAGACCTACGGACCAGGTCGTTTAAACCTCATTCTTGACACAGTTCTGCATGGAGGATCACCAATCACACATTTGATGGCCCCTTTTCTGGCCAAATCCGCCAGAAAACCCCATAGGCGGGGATTGTGAACATCCTGGTCCTTGCCCTTGGTGATGTCCAGACTGATCACATCCCAGCCATCTTGCTCTAACCTTTTCCAGTCCTCCGCCTTCTCCCCCGCATAGAGGTGTAGCAGGATCTTCTTCCACTGTTGTAGTCGACGTCGCGTACTGCGATTCCAAGGCAATGCACCTGCTGTTGACTCCTGGTTCTCCGACATGTATCGAAACACTCGGCGGGAAGGCACCTGTGGGAAGCGTTCTGGCCACCACTCATGATGTCCTCGCCCAGGTTCTCCTCGTCATTCAGGTCCTCTACCTGCTTGTGCTCCGCCTCCTCAGCTACCACTGGACACCCATCTCGCAACCACGAAGAGCTCTTTCCCCTTTTGGGATGCACCACCACACAGCCACTTGGGCTCCACTGTAGTTTGTAGGCCAGGTCAATCAACCCGCGGACTGGAACAATAGGCTCAATGCCTCCTTCCACCAAAATGGTACCCGTCACCGGATCCTGTTTGAGCGACACACGACCATGTGCTAGATCCACCGGCACCAATTCAGCTTTCGCCAGCTCATTGGGAAGTCCTGTCCGGAGAGGATGTGTCGCCCCACCATCCAGCAGTCCGACCTTGACGTCAGGTTCCCCACCATCACATAGTGAAGCCCCAACCGACTTACATTGCATGGCCATGATTTTAGCCCGATGAAGTGACCTTAACACCGCCGTCGCCTCACCCACCAAGCCTCCCACCGTGTTCACAACATCATCTTGTGGAGCACCTCCCCCAGGCGTAGTTTTTGGCCCAGTAGGCACTTGCTCAACAATCGCAGATGTCCCTGGTGAAGTTGAAGCATTGGCCTCCTCCTCCAAGACTCAAGCGCGCTCCGGTTTTTCCGGGCTATTTGTGTTGCTTCCCCCTTTGACCTTTGCCACCTTGACCGTCTCTTCTCCCTTCCCCTCCTTCTTCAAGAACGGGCAGGCTGTACGGCTATGGCTCAAGCCAGAGCAATGAAAGTACCTGTTGTCCTTGGGACTCAATCTAATGTGTTTGTACTTGCAACGATCGCCACGCCGACACCCCTTTTCCGACATCCAGAAACGACAGGTGTCTTTGTCACCGGCGCCATTCTCCCGTAGTTCCCCCACAGAAGGACTCGTCAGTGATGTAGAAAAAGTTCCCGACTTAGGTTGGGTTGCCACTGCCTTCAGTGATGGTCCCTTTCCCTGCCCTACTCCGGTTCCAGCTCCCATCGACAGCTCTTCCGCCTCCGCCTGCAGGATCTCCGCGAAGATCTTGAGGTTGTCCAATGTGGGCCTTGTATCGATCAACAACTGCTGCCTGCTCGTTTCCAACCGATACGCCACCTGCGCCCCAGACTTTGCCAAATGGTCCGAAGCCTTCCCGCAACTTTTCCGCAGACCAGGGATTCAGTGGTGAACTCTTCACAGAACCCTTTGTCTCTTCGAGAACTCGTTCTCCTCCACCAACTTTTTCGCGAGGTTCAACTCCCCCAGGTCCCCGAGCTAGAGGAACTCCTTCAGATAGTTCTTCACGACGTCCCTGCAGTGCCACCGGCATCTGTTCCATAGACCCTCCATTCCCCCACATTCCAGGGTAGGGTTGTTCTAGCCCCGCGAGCATTCCCCATGCTTGTTCTTGTACCGGTTGAAGAAGAACCATCGGCATGAACACCTGCGGAGGTCCTCGAGGACCAAGCTCACGAGCATCCTCAGGCGCAGGCAATTGCCGCTGTCCTTCCACTGCTCTTCTTTCCCCCGGAGTGTTCGTCACTGCCGCATACGAAGTCCTCTTCAAGGATGGGGTCCTAGTTCTGCTCCGTTCCAAGCTTTGCGCTCTTTTCGGCTGAGCTTCTCTTGCAGCCTCCAACATTGCATCCAGCTGCTCATCAGCTGTCGGCTCCTTCGAAGCTGCTCGTCGCCTTCGCATCGTCGTCGATGTCATGGCTTGGGCTCATAACCCATGGAAGTCGCGCTGCGTGTGGGCGTGTCTTTTCTTGAGCCAACGTGTTATGGCGGTCTCGCCATGTTTTCAACGCTTTGGAAGCTATGCGACTTGTTCCGCGATATGTATATGTTGATGTTATACTAAATCAATATTGATATTATTTTTGTGTTTTTATTACTACTATAAATATGACGGATGCGTAACAAAGTGAGAAGATGCGATGTGCGTGTTGTGCTGATTGGAGGGTTGGTCAAGGATTTCTCCCACAAACACCCAGGTTCTGCACACGATCGAGCGGAAGCAAAAGGCCCAAACTGATTCAAACTCGTACGGTAGTCTTGTCAAACGGGAATGCACTGCTGGAAATTTACTGGATCCTGATTTACTGCTGGATGCCTGCTTTCATCGATAAACCCTCCAGTGGATGATGGTGAACAGTGGCCGACATTCGATTCGTACGTTGGTTTCCATTCTCCAACGGGTTGATTGGACAAACTCAATCAGTCCAATCAATAAGAGTTTGTCTGACTGATTGAATGACATTGCCATCTTTGCAGGTTCAACGGACTTCCAACGATCTGCGAGCGCCCCAGACAGCCCCCGACAGCCATGACAGCCAGTTGGATGGGACACTTGGCACCTTCCGCTTCCCTCTACACCGTTCGGAAAGCGCCCAATGGATGGAGGTTTTTCTTGTCTCGACTTCACCTGGCCTGTCCAATACGTTGACACGTCGCGGCTAAGGGTGTTCATCCAAGTCCGGTCGTGGGGTCGAGTCTACCTAGAGAGGTTGAACAGCCCTTTGTCGCTCATCCCCTTTGTACCACTAGAGGGTCCTAGTTCTGGTCTCTCAACCTCTCTTGGTAGTAAATCCCTGAACCCATTCGAGGCCCAAGGCGTCCTTCTGAGTGTACCAGTTGGGGAGCTTGTGGACACACGAGAACCTTCTGATTCGTCACCGGATTAATCAGTGGCCGCGTGACTCGCTTGAACCGCCAGCGGTTCCCACAGCATTAAACCCTTGAAGCTCTTTTTGGCCACTTCAAGTGAACAATCTGCGTGGGGAAAACACCCCGACGACACAGCAACGACACGCGCGCGACCTCCTTAAGGGCTTTTCTCGCAGGTCGCCCGTTCCGGCCACGGCCCATTGCAACGCGTAGTCACCGCGCCAGACCGCGCCAGTCCCGTGTGGGGGTCGTGATTCAGTGATGACCGGGCCAGAGGGGAACATCGACCATGGACCGTCACATCCACAAACTGGAGACCCCCCTTCGGATGGTTGATACACTGATCTTGCTCTCTATTTTTGTTGAACAGGTGGGTCAAGCTCTGAAGGATCTTTCTGAGTCATTCGGCCTTCCCTCCCTCCGACCCCTCCACCATTCCACCCTCGTCTCTCTACCCCCCTCCCGCCGCACCCTTCCAAAACGCGACGCGAGTTCCGCGCCAGTTCCGCAACGCGCGAACGGGCGAGTTCACCTTCCGCGCGCGCAATCGGAATCGCGGAATCGGGCGTCGCGTCTCGTCACGTCCGCGGCCTCCAAGAGTTCGGCGGCTCCCCAGTGCAAGGTGAGCCGACCCTCGGTGAGTTCCACTCACCGGGGAACGTGCGACCCGACCGGACCGAACCCCCATATCACCGGACCTGTGGGTCCTGGGAGTCGGCACTCGGAGTGAAGGGCCGCACGAGTGCACTCGTTCTGCACTTGGAAGGTCTGAAAGGGAGTCCAAGTGTTTTTGGGTTGGGGTACGGGGTACTCTAAAAAATCTCTCACAATGGTGTGGATGCCTGGTGACTATCTTGCCTCATCTGTGCTATCACGTCATCCTTGCAGTTCCAGTTCGGTCGGAAGCGACAGGTCTGTGTTTCACATAGCAGCTTGTTCCTCGAAGGATTCCGGTTCACTGCTTGGCAGCTAATCAGCTTCACCGCCACACGTCAAGCCGAAGAACTTCATATGAAAGAACTGCCATCCCCATAGAATGTCATATCATCCGAAATCAGGGGCTGCCTGTTCAAGTCAATTGAAGAGTCTTGGAAAGCGGCTCAGACAGAGCAAGAATGCTTGGGGGTTCAACCAGCATTTTTGTTCAGGTCAGGTCACCATTCAGTGGTTCCGCATGCCTGCGTCGATGCCCAACGTGCACAGATTCAGAACAGACACGATCTTCTGGCAGAACATAGAATTGGAAGAATATGTCCATCAGGTCCATGACTGGAATTGAAACTGCACGGATCCAATTTAAATCCCTAAAAAAGGAACTACTGTCTGTTCTGTATATTTGAACCCTATTTCTCACACGAATTCCCCCACTGGGCTGACATTCGGTCTCTTGAAACCCATCGCCGTTTTGGAAAGAGACCGTGGGTGTTGTTTGGGTGATCGGTTTTGGAAAGTTTTTGATAGGACCCGTTTTGGACCAAAAAAATCATGGACACCCACGTGTTCGGGGTGCTGAAATCAAAGAACAACACCCCTGAGCGTCACGTCAGCTCTATAGGGGACGTTTTTGAGTTGACACACCCATGGCCCTGGCATTCCTGGATGATGAATGATGACCCATGTTTCTTTCGAAAGCACCTCTTTGGCCAACGCACCTCGTTGAGGAGCAAGAGATACTGTGGCAAACGATGCCTGGCAAAGTGGTTGGGAACCGACCGTGCAGGTGCTGGCGAATTGTCGGAACGGAATGAGAAATCAGACTGATACACATCATCTACCAGCACCCGACGACCAACAAGTCTCTGAAAGGGTGACTCTTGGAGGCTCTTTCGAGTGGTCGGTGGTGACCTGGCAGTGAGGGTGCTGGGTAGATATAGACTCTAACAGACTATTCAAATTGATATATAATATATGATTCTTAGACATCTATAGGCTGATATAGATTCCAGCGTTATTCCCTTTCTTTGCACCTGTCGCTCATTGGTATGTTTTTGTGATGAGTCTGTGTGGGTCCTGCTTTTCTTCGTGTCCCAGACCTGTTGTAGATTAATTTTAGTAAACTTAATAGCAAATATAATAAACTAAAAAATATATAGTAATATATGCAACTACCAGCACCCTCCAACCCTAACAGGTGGTTTCTGGGCACCTGTTTTCACCAGGAAGCACCTATTGGAGGGTGCTGGTAGCAATCTCATTAATATTACCAGCCAACGAACGGTGTAGATTCAACTGCCAGGAGTCACAAAGGGGTGTCTATTGGACCGGATGCCCCTGTCACCACATCCACAGCCCCTGGATGGGACGAACCAAACCACTCCGAGCTCTGATGGGCTTGGTGTGTATCACTTCGATTTCTTGGCTCACCGATCCGTTTCTTCTAAAAGGTCCCCCCACGTCGCTGACGGTTCCGGACGCTTGGAAGTAACCCCACGCCACATGGTGGAACAATGAAAACAATTTGGATAAGGGAAAGGTGATAGGCACAATCCCTTCGACAGATTTGTTCAATGGGCTGGGGACAAAGATTAATGGGCCTTCACCTTCACGAGGCACCCTCTCACTGGGGTCAATCTTTAAAGGTCTTTTCAGAAACAACGGACAGAGTCGGCTTCAGTCAGATACGTGAGATGGTGTGCACACCTGAGCCCAGCCCCTCTTTCGTCAGAAAAACATCAATCCTTTCTTAAATTCTTACTTTTGACGTCATGTTGAAGATCCTTGCGTTGGGTTGCGGCGTCTGGGTTGTGGTGTTTGCGAGAACCCCTTCTGAACAATGGTGGTCTCCATTCCGGAATTTTCCCTGGAACAATGATGGCGGAAGACCCCTGGAAAAGCGTTGGCACCAGGGATCCATTGAAACAGTCATCCAGAAAAGAGGTGAAAACTACTGCATGTCCGTTTGGCCGCCCACCGCCCCACAGGGTGAACCGTCGATTTGCGGCAGAAAAGCCATCGGCTCAAGAAGTTGTCGTTTCTTTTGGTGGGAAAAATACCATCATAAACATGAGGAGAAGTAAACGATGAAGGTCATGATCTAAACCAGCTAAGAGCCGTTTCCCTGAATCATTTACAGATGAACCGAACGCACTCCACTTGTTCATTCTTCGTGGGGTGTTCCTGGTGTTCCCCATCCCCCCAAAATGGTGGTTCTTCATGTCAACTAAATGAAATCTGAATCTGTGAGAAGGCAGGTCAACCGTTGTCCACGTACTTCTGTTGAAATGGATCAACCGTTCTCCATCCACATCGCTGTCTCCCGTTTATCCACCTATCAAAGGTCAAGACCGCCGAGCAGCGCGTCAACTCCTGAAGCCCCCGGCAGCGAACCACGGAGAAGAACAGCGAGCCAAAAGGGTAGGCGCTACTACTGCTACTACTACTACTACTTCTACTTCTACTTCTACTTCTACTACTACTACCACCACTACCACTACGACTACCACTACCACTACCACTGCCACTACGACTACCTCTACTACTACCACCACCGCCACTACTACTACTACTACTACTACCACTACGACTACGACTACGACTACTACTACTACTACCCCTACTCCTACACCTACGCCTACGCCTACGCCTACGCCTACTACTACTACTACTACTACTACTACTACTACTACCACTACGACTACCACTACCACTACCACTACCACTACCACTACCACTACTACCACCACCACCACCACTAACTACTACTACTTCTTCTACTACTACTACCACCACTACCACTACCACTACCACTACCACTACCACTACCACTACCACTACTACTACTACTACTACCACCACTGCCACTGCCACTGCCACTATGACTACGACTACGACTACCACTACCACTACCACCACCACCACCACCACCACCACCACGACCACCACTACTACGAAAAATTAAGTATTAGCTATCAACAATTGTAGGCTTCTTGTTTGAGTATTCATTGGAGATGGAACCGCGCCACAAAATGGGCGACTTTGGAGATGTCCCCCCCAAACAGTCGACATCTTTCAGGGCGTTTGTATCTTGAGAAAGCGAGATGGAGCTCATGAAACTGAATGCACACACATACGCAAACACAAACGGCCAAACATTGTTGGATACTCTTCAATTACACTCTTGAAGGATATCCTGGGGTGACACTCTTCTAAGGCACTCTTGCAGGACGCGTTTGTGCGACGCTTTTACTTGACACTCTTTTGCGACGCTCTTATAGAACACTCTTGTGGCACAATCTTGCAGCACGCTCGTGTGGGACACTCTTGTCGGACACTCTTGCAGGATACTCTTGTAGGACGCAGATTTTCAAGCTCGACTCTCTACTATTTCCCCCCCAGTCTTTCACATTTCCGTTGGCTCAAGTGGGATGTTATCAGTCAACAGCAAATTCTCGATAGTCCTCGTTATATCGGTTTGACAAAATGGACACTTGGCTCGATATTCACAGTGTAAGTGACCGGTTGAACCGTAAGTAACCTCCACTAGAGGGCACTGCGAACAAGAAGGTGTGTCGTTTTGGTTTGGCATGATTTGGCTGATCCGATTTTGCATCCTGTTGCAACACAGACTCTAGAAGAAGACTAGAATTGTCGTTCACTCTTTCATTGGACTATGAGTGTTAAGTGTCAAGTAGAGTCAACGTCGAACGTGTGTCAAAAAGTTGTCTTGGAGGCATTGCTGCATTGAACACAGCCGGCTCATGACTATCGGGTGCTCAGTAGTGTTTCAGTTGCCAGGTAGCGTTGCAGTGCCAAGTGGCAATTGGACAACAACTGATAACATACTCCTTTATAAAAACCCTGTTCGACAAACTTATCTAGCAGCTGGCATCAAGTGGCATCACTCATCCTACACTTCTACATGCACGGCGACACTCAGTGCAACTTTCTTAAGAAGCTAAGGCAAGAAGTGCACTCTGTCGTTGGTTTTGGACACGCCTCATGTTGCCTGACTAGTGGCGTCATGTTTCTGGTGTTTGTTCTTTATGTGGCTTTTCCTCAAGATTGTCCGGCTCATTTCGTTGCGCTGTGTGTGTAATTCCTGGACTCATGTTGTTTTTCAGATTTTCGTTTGCAAAAAGCACGTACAGTGAATCTTGGACCACCTGAAACTCCGCAACTCCCGCCCTGTTGCACCTCCCAAAACGTCTTCCCAAACCGTTTTCTCCCGTCCAAAGGGTCAAGGAGTTCATCGGCCCAGTCGGGTGGTAAGGCATCCTACGGACCGAAAACGGCCGTCGAGGTCATCGGACCCGGTCGGTCTTCGGTCTTCCTCGTGTGGGGGGGGGGGGCGAAAATCACCCGGGACCACAGAAACAGCTGCCGTAGCTTGAGGTAAAGACATGCAGCTGAGCTGTTTGGACTTGAGGCTGCAAGCTGTTGGAGCTCTATGTTTTTACCTCAAGCTTGCTAAGGGTAGTTCAAGTCCAAGGAGCTACCTGGAGCTGTTTGGACTTGAAAGGGAATTGACTCAATTGACTGCTTTCCATTTTATTTGTCATGAAGAAAGTGGTATGGGCATTCCCACTCCCCTCACTTCGTACAGCTTCGGTGACCTGACTCAGTCGACTTGCTGAAAGAATTCCACTCCGACCCTTTGCGAATGCACCTCGCTGCTTGACTGAGCTGTGGATTTCTTCATCAACATCAGTGTCAGCAGCTCCATGTCGGATTCTTCTTTGGTTTGTCCCATCCAGGGCTCGTTCGACAGAGGGGCACCTGGATGGGCACCGAACTCCTGCACTCCCATCCTCCCTTCGGCAACGGCACCTTCCGAAAACCAAAAGACATGCTGCAATGATGTCCTTTTGGGAACAATAGAGGATCCCTCAATTTCGTACGGTGCCGTACTTGGAGGTATCCCCTCTATTGATCAACCAACCAATAGTAAAAGGACGAACCTTCCAAAAACACAACCAGGTCCGCATACAAATTGGCCCTTCGGTCCATCGGTCAACCCCGTCGCGGCACGCGAGCACGCGAAAAGGTCCCAGCAAACAACATAATTCACAGGTTCTTGGAAGATGAAAAAGAAGATCCTCTCATCTTGTCATTGATCTGATATTCATTCATAGTTCGTCATCATCCCACACAAAAATGGGCTTGGTGAACATGTTTCTCTGTGGCCCGAAAAGCACTGGGAGAGACGCCAGAGTCTTCTGAGAATGATGGATCTCCGGTCTCCAGTCTTCGCCGTTTTGCAAATAGCATCAGAAATCCGATCTCATAGTTAATGGGTACACTCCCGAAAACTAACATAGACCCTGACAATGGCCCCCTGGAAGATGGTTTTCCTCTACCAACCAATGGTTTTCAGGATGTTAGTCTTCCAGGGTGTATATGAATGATGGTTTATTATGGCTGCGGGTCACGGCGAAGACGACCGACTGTTCGCATCAGCCAAAAAGCCAGTTTCACAGGCCGACGGGGAACTCACCGGGCAGGAAAGACTCATGGTGCAAACAAACATGTGTCAAGAAACCAAGCTCACCCCCATCCCACGTGGCAAATAGTTGTTTTTGGTGTGAAGTTGGTGAAAAACCATGGATGGTGGAAGGTGGCCAAAGTTTTAAACAATGAAAGTATACTCACAAACCCTTCACTGCCATCCCAGCCCATCATACTAACACCTACACCTGCCTCATCCCATGTTCCGCCGTCCCACCCGGCCCCCGGCGTCCGGAGGGCAGCCGCGCCTTGCTCGGCAGCGGCGGTGCGCCACGCTCGCGCAGCACCAGGCGGCACTGCTGGGAGCCTCGAGAGTGGTGAAAGTCGTTCGGCGGGGAAGCATATCACTCGGCCGAAAGAAAGAATCCATTTGACCTGTGTTTTCATTGTAGGAAAAGATTGTTTTGGCTCCAAAACAGCTGTCAGTCAGGTTCTAGGTATATACAGGTCTCTGACGGCAAACAGGTCTCCGAAATGGTGGCTGAAATTCGAGACTTCAAAGGTGCGTTTGTCTGGTGACCTGGCAGGTTTCGGGTGCTGTGTCACATGTACATGGTGCGGTTGTTCATGTTTTTCTGGGTGTGTCGAGGGCCTTTGCCATTGGAACATCATGGAACCCAACTTGGACCGAGCCCCACTCGAGCCTGGTGACGACTGGCACTTCGGCGACGACGCGGGGCGGATCGGCGCTGGATCCGAGGTGGTGTTTTGGGACTCGCCCATTCAAGCGGAAAAAAAAGGGGCGAGTTGTCCCTCCAACAATCATGCCAACTGATTGAGAATCGTTGCATTGGACAAACTCTTATTATGGACATTGCCACGTTTTGCAGGGTTCAACCAAAAATGGACTTCCAACGACTCCTGATCCCCCACTCACCAACCCCTGCGCGAACTTGCCAGCCATCTGGATCGGACACCTGGCGCTCTTCCCTTCTACACCGTGCGGAGAGAGAGCGCCCCTTATTTATGAGTCACCCAGAGGCTCATGGACCCGAACCAACTGCTACATGTTTGAGGTCCCAAACCCTGGCTGCGAGGGTCAAAACCCTAGCGAACTGAGGGTCCAATGAGCCTCTGGGCAGCACGACTGGAGGTTTTGTGAATCTGGTCCGATCGTCCGATCCGTCCGATACGTCGGGTGTCAGTCACCAAAGCAACTCAATCCACAGACCAGACAGGTGGAGTTCACCTCCACTTCCATGACTGTCTAAAGCCAATGGTAATAAAATCTTCAAAACCGGACTGAGCTTCAGCTGCTGAAGATCAAGGTTCCCCCCTCTTCATGTTGCAGGCTTTTCCCGTTGAGGGCGCTGTCAAAGCACTCCGTGTACTCCCGCCCAAATTCAAACACACCGTGCCCCCTCCCCGAAAAGGCTCGTTTTTCTGAAGCACCCCAACTGACCCCCGATTCCTTCGCCAAGCTCCGCGCGCCCGCCCCGTGGGATCCCGTGGGCCCGGCGCCTAGCCAGCGCGAGGGAGCAAAGGCAAAGGTCCCCGTCGTCCGAAGCAGAAGATCTTGTCCTGCGCGCGCGACGGGTGCGAAGGAGGTGCCAGGCTGCTGCAGGAGGCGGAGGCGGCGGAAGGGTCAGTGGTGTGGAGACTCCGGTGGGGTGGAAGGGGGCGGTAGGAGGCGGTGGCTTGCTTTAGACCCCCGTTAAAACTCCTGACTCAAATCCAGGGCGGTGTTTGGGAAATCACAACTTGAAGTGAAGAGCTTCTGGGTGGGGTTTGGGATAAGAGTTTCCCAGCAGCAGAAGAAAACATGTCCACCCAATCATGCATGTGTCGATCAGTATGTCGCGCGCGCTTCAGAACGGTGTAGCAAAACCGTAGTTGGTAGAGGAAACACCAAGAAATTGTAAAATCTCAATCAACAGAAGACATAGTCTTCAGGCACTTCCATTCAGAGGATTGTGTGCCTTGCGGTCTTGACCAGAAGTAGCAAAAGAATGAGTTCAGTCAGTAGAAGTGGGTCTCCATCTCAAGCGATCCACTTGTTTGGCCTTTCTTAGTCTATAAATTCCACAGCGATCCTCCCAGTGTTTGAAACAAAGGAACCGAAAGCCCCTCAACTCCACCTGTGTTTTATCAGGTCACGCAAATATACAATCACCAACTCAGGTCACTCAAGTAGGTCGCCCTACCTTTCGCCGACCTCTTCTTGAGGGGCGGACAGACAGACTGGCGACCCTGCGACCGGAGACGTACAAAACCCGTTGAGAGACGAGATGTTTCCCCGCCCGCGCGCCTGGCATGAGCGGTGCCATGGCTGACACCGCTGTGACTGTCGACAGGACCTGGCGGAGCGCGAAAACAACGGATGGAGGGGCAACGAGCGGGGACAACGTGCACCGTGGTTGGTGGAAATGAAAGATGTAACAGAAAGAATGACCAAGAAAGACTAACAAGAAAGACGAATAAAACGAATAGTCTCGTTTTTCCTCTTTTATCAAGAAAACAATCAGCAAAATGTGGCCGGAATGGTGAGTCGGAACTCCAATATGAGAGGTGAGATGGATTGGACACTTGGACGACATGCTTGACACATTGTCCCAAGGTATCAGTCTTTTCTTCGAAGCCGTCGCTCTCTTTTCCCAAAGCTCGGGTGTGAAGAGATTGATACAGAACATGGTGCGTTGGAGAGGTCGTCTTCGACTCCGGAGGAAGAGCAGGAGAGGCTTGCGACGTGGTGCCGTTTTGACCACCCAAAAACCACCCCCCTCACGACCCATACGAACAGAATGGCTCCCGGAATCCAACTTCTGCATCAGCATTGAAGCTCGATTTGGTGCGCCAAAAAGAGGCTCGTAAAAATGCGTCAAAGACATGGTGGTGGTCACCTTGTGTTCGCCCATCAAGACCCTCTAGGCATCAAAGACCATCTGCGTCACTCCACCTGGAAAAACCATGAATTCAAAAATCACAGCCACCATGTTCGATCAGGGGGAAAAGCTCGGGAAAGCTCGATCCGTTTCGCTTCCCTGCCACCGACCCCGGTCTGACCTCCGATCTTCCCCGACGTCCGACGGAGCTTCGGTCGCCCCGACGGGTCGGACTCCGCCTCTCCGGTCCACAGGCGCAGCACGAGGCATCGCCTGGAGAAGGCACCGCTAGAAGCAGCAGCGCGGCGCGGGGCGTGGGCGGTCGTCTGGGGTCGTGGTGCGTGTTGGGGCGTCGAAAGAAGAAGCAGAGTCGATTTCAGAAACTACTATGTGCTTTTGTCGATGCTTTTTTGATGCGAAAAAAATAAACATCATCTGCATGCAGCATCATTGCGATCAGAGAAGCCTTCCGTTGAACCTCGTTACCCCCCTTGGGATGTTCGTCTCAACGCTGCCCCTGTCGCATCTGGAGAATCGGTTGAGGTCCAAAAAACCACGGGCGGTTGGAACAGCGGCCTCCACCGCGGATGAGCGGTGGAGAGAAGGACACCGCGAAGCCAGTGCAGCTCTTTGTCATCCTGCTAACCTGCTATCTTAAAGGATCTTAAAGGAACTGAAAAGGATGTCAGTCTTGGACCTTGGAAAGTGGAAAAAGGTGGACGAAGTCATCGGCCAATCTCGAACTGCTTGGCGCATCTGGCTGCATCTCTGCCCTCAAAAACCCACCGAGCTTTTGGACACCAAGCTGCCCAGTGCTCTTGATGAAGAGCGCCATGAGCAAGCCGCCCTGCACGCAGTGGCTTTGCTTGCACATCTGTCTCAGGCGCACAGTGTATTTGAGTGGATGTTGCAATGTTTCCAGCACAGGTGTGTCTTTCTATAGGCACGTGGGAATGCAAACCAAAGCCACGGCAAGTTGGTCTTCTGGAAAAAGGATTCTTGAGTGGCAAACCAGAGGCCGCCCAGATAAGTTGATGGCTAGACTTGGTCGGACTTCCACACATGGACATGGCTTAATTGCAGAAAAGCTTTTAACATCTTTTAAAAAGATTCTCCCCTTTGTTGGACAGGCGCGACCGGAAAGGAAGAAGGGAAAGGATACCTAAGGTAAATCTATCGGTCTTGGGGCGTGTCATGTCCATCTTCCCGAAAACACCTCATGTCTTTCCATCGGTCGCGGGTCCCACCCATCGGTGCTCGATGTCAGCGGTCACTGCTTGTTCCACCGCTGGACGCTGCGCAGCGCAAAGTCCGAACCCTTCTTCACTCATCCATTCCCAGACCAAAGCAGGTCGCCGCAGTCTTTCTCTCTGTAAGAGAGGTAGTATTGGTGAGCTAGGTCTTTGGTTCCCTCATCTCATCTTCACCTTCTCCTTCATAGACTTTGTCATTCCAGCTAGGCACATACAATGCCCATCACGGGATGGCTGTGTGGTGTAGGAATAATCCATACCCAGGTCTGCAATTGTACCGAGCTAGAAAGTTGTGAACTGCCTTCTTGTTGCACCTCCTCTCAGAATAGGTCCATTCCAACTCAATGATCCAAAGGCAGCTTCTCTTGATCGAACTGAACCTGAGCCTGCGTTTCCCTCAACCCTCCTCCGTTTCTCAGCTGGCAGCGTATCGTTGCTCAGAGCAGATCGCTCATCTGTTTCCGGTTGAGGGATGTGCCGCAAAGAGCTACTTCTACTCTCGCAGTGGCCATTGCTCAATGCGCTTACACTTGAAAACGGCCTATCCTGCCAGCCCAGCTTGCCATCTTGCTAAAAGCTGAAGCCCAAGCCAAATGCAAGGGGAGATGACCAGCGGGTCCCTAAACAGATTTCAGTTTGAGCTTCAATTGGATTCAGCAAATCATATCTCTCCCAGGAAACCGTGACAACACCGAGAAGGATCTACTGGTTGCACAGGTCATCGACATCCGTCCATTCATCCAGAGCTGCCCCCCTTCAACCCCCGTGACGGAGCTTCCCGCACCTTCTCGCTGCGTTCGCAGGGGAAGTTGCAATCCTTGGCACTGAAAGGCGGATGGGTCACTGGCATCACAAACAAACTCAAGGGGCTCGAAGAAATGGTGTGTGTTCAAACCATTCGCAGTACTGTAAGACCTTTCAAGAGAATTCTCGAAAAATTGGTCCTCAATAGGCTATGGTCCTAACCAGTCAAATAGACAAGTGCCACAGTTCACCAGTGTGCAGCCAAATGGTGATTTCTGGCCTCTAGGGCAACTTGAATTTCTCCGAGACCGCGCTGCTTTGATCAAGCCTTGGTGTTTTAGTGGAGCAACGCAGCTCCATGCTTGGTCTAGATTTTGTATATAGAATGGCGTCACCCACCGATCCAAGAACCCTCCGATGCCTCGACACTTCTTTTTGGTGACAAATCACATTTCGCAAAAGAATACGGTGTCAACCTATACCTTTTTTAGTAGTTCTCTGTTTGACCCTTTGCCCGTCGACCCACACCCACCTTTGATTCCGGGGATTTGACCTTATTGAAAGGATGGATGTGGCATCAGAGATCCCACAAGATTCTTAGGGATTCTGGGGATTTGGGTTCCGATGTCACTTGGCTGCCTAAAAACCCCTCCTCAACATTCTCAAAACCTCTCTGGATCCCAGGAATCCATGCACCGGGAGGCAGGTGCCAGGAGACTCACATCGTCCAACTCACAACAAGGTCCTGGCACCGGACCGCGGCCGGACCGAAGGTGGTGCCGGACCACGCACCGGACCACGCGGTCCAAGCCCTGCGCCTTTCGTTGACGAGGCTAGGCTGAGGATAACATGTTGAGGCTAAGCTTGGCTTATGTCAATATAACCTACCGGACCTACCGTTATACCTTCTGTTGCCTAAGCTTGACAGCTTAGCTTATAACCTCTACCGTTTTAGGAAAAAGATGTCAATTTATGGCTATCTGACAGAGGGACAGGCGCTCTCAACACATTGGCAAACGAAAACGGATGGGAAAAACGTTCCTCAATGTGCTATCCATACCACCCCCGGCTGCTGTTCTGCATCATATGGCGTCATGGCACCCGGAGCCAGTTTCACAGTGGTTGGTTGGCCTCCCATAGTATATATATATATATATACATATCTATTCTGTTCATTTTCAGTTGTAAAAACCAGGGTGCCCCCGGGCCCCCGCTGGCATGACCCACAGCCATATGTGCTTCACAGAAAGGTCCGGTGGCAAACTGCTGGACCGGCATCTGGTTCCCCACCTGTCGGCACCTGAATCACAGTAAACCGAAGTGGCGACGGACCAGAACAAAAAGGCATGAACATACGGCTGTTCCTTAAAGGGACGGTGTTCTTTTCAATACAATTCATACATACCATCCCCATCATTCCCCCTAGAAAGCCACACAAACACTGGCGAATCTTCTACATCCAAGGTTCTCTCTCTTTGTCTATCTTTGGCTCCCAACTAAACATCGACACCCGAGAAAATCTGCCCCAAAAATTCCTGCTTGAAGCCTCCACAGCTACTAGGCTACCATGGCCTCCATAGTATACCTCCATAGTAGGGGAAATCCAGGGTTTGTCCCTTCAATCTCCTTGCCATTGTTTCGGGCCTGGATCCTTCGAGCGGGGCCCCACGTTCTGTCAAACACCGTGACGTGGAGAACGCCGACCGAGTCGGACGACCGTCCGTGCGAAGAGGACGTCTCCTTCTTCTGCCACGATGTGGAGTTGCTGCAAAAAGACCTGTTGGAAGGGCAGAGTAAGTGGCAACGGATGCTTCTGGAGAGGAAATCACAAGAAATAACCTCCAAGCAAAGGCTGTCTGGCAATGCATTTTGATGTATCACGGCGTTCCCAAATAGGCAGACAGGCTTTCCCGCGGTGCATTCCATCTGCCTGGTTTCTAGCAACACCCTTGCACGCTACAGGGAGTCCCACGCTCTATCAGCGGGAGCAGTATCAGAAGGAGACCCTCCAAATAACCCCTGAAACACATTGTTAGGGGAATGCTCAATGAATCACTCCTTACGCGACTGTCCGATCTGTTTCGGATCTGTTTTCCCTTGCCTCCGAAGCCGCTGGCTCTACCAGAGCGCACTCGGGCAGTCCACCCGTTCCGAGGCCTCTCCAGAGGGCTTCGGGCCCGGTCGGAGCAAAAGCGCCCGACGGGTGAAGGTGATTCAGCTTCTACAGGATTGGGGAATGGATCAAAGTGAGTAGAAATTCACATCCAAACAGCTTGGGCACAACTCTTTTCCCTTCTCTACCTTCCGTTGTGTTGAGCTAACGCTTCCGGAGACCACTGTGTTCCTAGCACTTCGACTGCGCGACCAGCGCGAACCGGCAAGCCCTGTGCCAGGGGCCAGGGGGTCGGACCCTGCGAATGAGTCAGCTGGAACTTTGGCTTGCAAGGCACTGAGCCTTGACTGGGCCTCGTGCGCACGCGAAGTTGGAAACGGGACCTGTATATAGATGCGTGCCAGGTACGCGTCCTCACGCTCTCCCTCGCTCTCGTCCACTCTTCTGCAAAGATACATGCATTGCAATCGCCTCCGCCCATGGTCTTGCATCTGCAAGGTCATTACGGCAACGATAGTCAGTAAGCTTCTCGGCGGCGGCCCATTTTGATTTTAAAGCATGCCACAGGAAGTTGGTGACGTTCGTGACAGCACTTCCTGGTGTCCAATCTGCCGGACTTTGGCATGCCTTTCTCGTCCCGTTGGAAAGCTGATGTCAAAAGACATGGAGTGTTGGGGAAAGGCGCTTGGAACAGCACGGGGCAAAAACATGCGTGTTTTCACTGATTCATTTGCAAGAGTTCCAACCAAGGAGACAGTTGCTCTGAAGCCGGTTCTTTCAGTGAGGATGGATTGAAAGCTCTAAAAACCCCCATCCAAACCCCCTCGTCTCTCCACACGTCTTCGTCACGTCTAACACGCGCGACCGCACTGTCAGATGCCACGAGCAGGTCCGATGCTTCTTTTTAAGAAATTTGACTCGACCTTTTCTGAGTGAAGGAAAGGAAGCTATTCCCTTCAAATAGGTCCCCTTTTTGAGGTCAGAGCATTCTCTTAAAGAGTCTTTCACCTTCACGAGTGCGAATTGCCATTAGCAGTGCCTTCGATCCGAGCATCGGCGCGGGGTCCCTTGGGCGATGGATCTCCGGCTTTGTCTCCCTCGCCCAAACGCTCGGAGCAATCCTGGGCAGCAAAAAACAAACAGCCTTCCGTCCGGGCCTCCACGATCTCAACTGGCCAATCCGCTGTTCCCAACACATCTCGGTCTTTCGTCCAGGAAACACAAAGGCAAGGTCGAGTCAGACTAGGTGACGAGGTACGGACGACACAACATCATGTGGTTCCGCAGCACCATGTGGGTGGTCAGGGTGGTCATTGGAAGGAAAAATACACATCATCAGGAAAATTCAATTAGAAGCACCTGCTGAAGCGCCTGAAATGCTGCTGCTCTCCTCTGACCGGCCCACCAAACCCACCCACCCACTCACCCACCCACCCACCACCCGCTCCGACCGATCCACCACCTTCCACGGCTTCCATGCGCCGCCGGCGGAGGAGGAAGATACTGTGGCGCCTGCGCTTCGACGGAGCGAAGCGTTCTGCGGTTCGACGAAGCAACTTCCTCTTGGTCCCACCCGTGCGGAGCAGTGCCACCAGCAGAAACGGAAGTAGGCGGGCTGCTGTAGATGGATGGATGTAGATGATATTCTGGTCAATGTGGATGAACAATGTTCCACAAGTCCCTCAAGTCATTGCACATATGTCCGTCCTAGAACCTTTGAGATGTAGATTCAATGTTGTCTGCAGCCACATGTAGGACCTGCAGCTTTGCCACCATGTACTTCCTGGGTAGGAGTGAACCATGATGTGTCTCCTCAACCATGATGTGAACCATGGGTCTCCACAACCGTGACGTCCCCCCATAAAAGGGTTTTTTCCAGTGATCCACGTACTTCCTGCTGATAAGGGTTTGAACTTGAAGACTCCCGAACCAATGGTTTCTTTCTTGAGGCCTTGGCTGAATTGGGATGCCGTGGACGACCCTCCGAAAAAATAGGTTTGGGATCTAGTTTCCTTCTTCCTGCTTTTCAGGGAAGTCTCCCTAATTCAAGCACACACCAATCCAGCCATTTTGTTTGGAATAGCCACTGGAGACCACATCACGCATCACCCATCAACCACACGACTTCCAAAATTATGCAACGCATCCAAAGAAATCTCAAAAGCACCGAGAAAACACTGTTGCTGTCCCTTTCCCCATATTGAAAAAAAGTAGTTTAAAAAAGAAAAAAGAACACACACAAACACACACACACACTCCAACGCCACCGCCGCCGCCGCCGCCGCAACAACAACAACAACAACGCCGACAGCAACGACAGCAACGACACGTCTTGCCCGAAAAATACCCACTACCGTAGACCACCGCCGACCACCGCCACGTCCCACCATCCTTGATTAACTACAATTTAATTTGAGGTAGGTACACCCACTCCACTTATCTCCACCTAATGTTTGATTCGCAGAGTGTCATAAGTTGAATTAATGTCTGCTTGACGGGATCGTTTTCAACTTCAGTTCTGATATCTTCCGATCTATTTCAAAGGTTTTTAAAGTGCCAGTTTCTATCCAAATCTAGCTTCGCAACCACATTGGCTCCTGGAAATATTATGAGGTGCTTCATGGTGGTTCTTGTTGTCCAGCCGCCCCCAATCAAAGTATTAATTCAGGTGGGGTTCACTTCAGCACTGGAAATTGATTGAAGTCATAGGATATGCTAATTCACAAAAAAGGCCATCCTGATAGAGGGCATATCGAAACACCCTCTAGCTGGGACACAATCTCTGCGTCCCCTGTGCCCTCCATTTGTCCGGGAGTTTCACCGCCTGGTCTTGGGCGCATATGCCAGGGCCACTGGAAGGTCCTGACTCACCTGTTTCAGGGAGCGGCATGCAGCGGCATGGAGCGGCCACCCCACACCCGGTCTTCCATGGTCTTAACGGGGCGGAGTTTGGGTAGTATACCCCATGAAGATGGGCCAAGTGGATAGTAGTGGCTTGCAAAGGCCTTTCATCAACTAGTGATTACTGTATCTGTTTCCGACTGTGGGACTGTCACTGGCAACCATACTTCAAGAACCCTAAAGTTTACGCTTCTTACTCTGTTCCAACATGACACTTGCGGTCTACAGCGGATCGGATTAACACGTCCATTTTGCGTGGCAGGTACAGCACGGTCAGATTTCCACACCCCAGGTGTGGAAATCTGACCGCAACTGAGGTGTCGACATGTTGCACGTAGGATTCTAAGGGGAAAGGGTTTGTGATGTTTTAGAAGTCAAGAAGCGCAACTTTTGGCACCCCAGTGTATCCTTATAGCTAGGTAGAGTTCTGAACTGCTTCGGGTGTTGGTTTCCGGTTTTGAAGCAGTGAAACCGATGTTTGCGGGGGGGAGCCTTGCATGCGCGAGAAGAAGGTCTTGCTCCAAAACGGCACAGGGTCGGCTGTAGGGTCCACAAACCAACGTCTATCCATGGTGTTCCAGCTGTTGGATGAGCTTGGCGGGTTGTTTCACTGCCAGGACTCCATCACAAGCCTCGTGAGCCTAGCGGGAAGGTTCCTTCAACTTCGTTTCTTCGCGTGAAGACGACGAGAATGTTTCGGTCGTGCGGTGCGTTGCTCGTCGCAGGGGTTTTTTGGTCACAGGACGCAGAGTCGGAGAGTCGGAGACCGACCGACCCGACCCGGAGACCCCATCGGGGTGCGGAGACCGACCCTACTCGGAGACCTCGCAGCTTGATGTCTGGATGGTGGATGGCTAGACCAGTCTGCCATGAAGGCCAGTCGGGGCCCAATGGGGTCCAGAGACCTCTCCAACTACACACCATACACACCCACATGGAGATTCTGATGAAGTGACTTCATCGAGTCCTGCATTCAATGGGAATCGTCCTTGCTTTTTGCCTGGTGACCTTGGACAATACATCTTGCAGTGCAGATCAGTGCAGAACAGTTTGAGTGCCCTTGGAGGTACTCAATTGGTAGGACGATCCTTTTTTGCTCTATAGGATGGAAGATCTTCAAACAATCAACAACTCTTTTTCTCCCTGAAACTGGTCGCCCCCTCAACGCCCAAAAACATCGCCCTCTTCGGCACAGGACAACAGGTCGAGGGCGGAGGGCGGATCGCCCGCTTCGGTATGGCCCTAACACGGAACACAAGGTGTGAACAAACCCCCCAGTTCTCATGGTCAGAGTGTCAAACCGATTCCCTGAGCCCCGAAAAGTCTGCAGCCAAGGACACCCAGCGAATTTGAAACTCGCCTGCCACCGCACAGGCGAAGCGTCGAGAAAAACCGTCTGGATTGCTCTCCAAATCTTCGACACACCCCTTCTTGCTTGCAAGCTGAAATGATTGCTCGTGGCATTGCTTTAAAACCGTTGAAGGTCGAAGTGTCATTGCCTTGCTTGACAAAACCCATCAAGCAGTGTCATTGCACGTCGGAGCAATAAACATGTACCAAAAAGAAACTCAACCACATGTCCGTTCGAAGCTCCATCCGTTGCATCCGTTCCATCCGTTCTGGTCCCGAGAACTTGTCGCTGCGCCGGTTCCCACAGCGAAGGCGGGATGGACATGCGACATGGATGGTCCTCCCTCCAACATTGCTTGGAAACCAAAAATCATTTATACCTAGAACCCTGGTCATGACCTCTATTTTGGACCACCAACCACCCAAAATATGGCCAAACTTCCTATCTAAACAGGGATCAATCGGGTTCCCGGTGTGTATATATAGATATAGAGCCTTTGTGGCTCCAAAACAGGGGTCAGTCAGGTTCTAGGTAATTATATATGTTGGGTCTATCCTGTTACCTGTAACAGTGGATGATGATGACGATGATGATGATGATGATGATTGTTCAACAATGATGATAATCGTTTACTGACTGTTACAGGTAATAGGATCTGGTCTCACGTTCTCACATCAACGTGCGTAAATTGAAGGCGGCTCAGAAATGCAAGTAATTACATGCTTTCACCCTATGGTGATCAACATTCTACAACATCCTTATACATGGAAGACACCGCGATTGGGTGCCAATCCGCAGAAACTATAGGGAATTGGTGGAAAAAAACGGCGAGCTCGCAACAGGAGAGGGTCCCTCCGCCGGAAGCCCGCCACACCAAAGCGAGAGGGACAAAAAAAAGGTGACGCAGGCACAACCTCGGGACTCGCACTCTGTACGGAGCCAGAGGAAGTGAAAGCATCAAGGAAGAACCGGAGCCGCTCTAAGGGCCAGCTGGTTGTCCTTATAGGCGCAAGCCAGGGCAAGGCCAGAGACAGTCCCGCAAAATACAAAAAACAGGCTCTCGCAGGAAGGCAAGCGTTCACGAAGTGACCAAGGTCATGGCTCGGACAAAGCGTTGAAGGAAGCAGAGTCGTCGGGGAGGCGGCGGACTACGGCTCTGGCATTTTCCCGTTGCAAGGTGACGCTCAAACCTTGCATCAATTGCTCAGTCATCTTGCTGGTGGAGTCACCGGTTCGAGTAGCAAGGAAGCTCCCCAATTGCCGGAAGACAGCCATGGCCGTGGGCCCCCAACCCCCAGCGCATCCTTCGGCAACTATAGGCAAGAACTGTAAGCCTTGTGCCCGGCACTGGGCTTCGGTTCGTTGGTGCATGCGTTTACGCTCCCCGTAAACCAGCGCAGCATGACCGCCGTTGCCAACAGTGGAAGGGAGCACGCCAGAGCGAAGTCCGCTGGAAACTGCAAAATCGAAGGCAGCCGGGCCATGGAGCCCCCAGCCTGGAACCCACACGTCGGCAGGTCGACGTGCGGAAGCCTGGTTCAACGACACTCCAGCTTCGCATAGGCCCGAATCCTCCGGCCGAGCAGGAAGCAAGCCAGGTTTCTCTAGCTCTGGGCTGAGGCCAGCGGCAGCCAACTCGGCGGCAAAGAAGTTCCGCAACCGGTTATGTCTTTTGCCGCGGTCTCCACCACATGGGCATACTTGAGCGTGGTCCCCAAAGGAATCCGCCACCCCATCGCAAAGAGGGCAAAAGCCGTCGGACGGTGCAATGGGAAGGCGCAATCTCAGTCGGAGGAGAACTCGGAACAAATGGGTGTTGATGTGAAGGCCGAGATTGTCAGCTGGTAAGGCAGTGAGCCACGCTCCGGCCCCGGGTTGTTGGACCAGTTGGAGGTGGCCTTTGGCTGCTTCGCCAGTGGTGGCAGCTATCAAGTGGGCCTGCTGCGCCTTGTCCACTGTGGCCGACAAGTCCCGTTGTTGGTAGGACGGGGCCAACGAGTGGATTTGATCCTCAGGCAAAACGACTTGGTTGTATAAGGTCAAAGCCTGGTGGACCGGGGGAGGCACAACCCGATAGGTAGGGTCAAGCTCCGTGCACGAGGCAGCAAGATGGGTGATGGACGCAATGTAGGCCGCAGGGGCATGCAAGGCAGTGCTGCGAAGACCCAGCCCGCCAGCTTTGATAGCGAGACTGGCTTGCAGCCAGGTGTTCTGGGTCAAGGGCAGCCCCCCAATTTGTTCGAGGCAGGCTTGCGCCTGCTCATCAAAGGCTTGAAGCGCTGGGCCATGGCCGTGGCACGGGTGAGTTTGACGTGAGACTGGCAATGCCGGAGGAGGAGCATCGCCGTCTGGGCATCTGGGAGATCGGCCAAGGCTTGGAGGCATGGCTTGGCCGGCTCAACTCGTGCCGAAAATGTGTGGCGATTGCAATATGCCTCATCTCCAATGGCAGCCCCCAAGAAAGAAAAGTTGCCCGTGGTGTTGAGGTGGGGAAAAGCTGGAGCATTGCCAGTTCACATTTCGATAGTTCCAGCTGGAGCCCGATGTTGCACGTGACATGTTGCAAAGCTTGGAGGCCTTGTGCGAGTTGGCTTGCATATGCCGTCATGACCAGATCGTCCAAGTACGCGAAACACACGTCGCAGTGCCCACGGGCCGCAACCAAAGCCGGCTGAAGCGCCAGGGAAAACAGCAAAGGGCCTAGGGGATCGCCCTGTTGCACTCCGCAGGTTGAAGCGATGGTTTCGCCCGCATACAGAAGACGGGAATGGTGGCAGGTAGGACCCCACGGCCTGGGCAAAATAGTTCCTGTTGGCCGCCATGAGCGATGCCCGTGCAATGGACAGCTGAGCACCGGCTCTGAAGATCAGGGTCTCCCGAACATCCCTCATAGACTCCAGCGGCAGGAGGAAGCGGTCCGTGAATGTGGCGCTCGCATGCTTCTTGATCGCAACGGTGTCGGACAACGTTTCCGTTTGTGCCAGCATGGAGCGGGCCACGGACGAGAGGCCTATCAAAACTTCAGCCCTCTTCTCCAATGCCACGGCACTGCGAGATGCCGCCTCTGGGAATAAATGCGACGCAAACTTGGCACATCCAACGGCGATGTCCCTATAGGGATGTCAGTGCAGTCCAGATCGCAGTCGAAGAGCTTCAGGCTGTAGGCGTGGAACGGTTCGTAGACCGACCAGAACGGGTAGGCCGCTCTCAAGCGCGACCCGATGGCGTGAGCACTCGTGAGTGATGCCACCCCAGCGGCCCTCTCGGAGAGGGTCCACGCCATCCTCCCCAGGGGCGCATCCATCGCGAAGTGTGAGAGCAGCGCCAAGATCAGGTCTGACGCGTCAAACCCCTTCGTCCCGCACACCCCTGCAAGCACCATGTCGGCCTCCCTCGCGTGCTTCAGGGATCTGTTCGGAGCGGCAGAGTGCGCACCCCTCCTGACCCTGTCGAGAGAGTCCTGCTGCTCTGCCATGTGGTGCTCCGTGGAGTGGAACTCGGCCGCAGGACACTCTTACGCGACACTCTTGTGGCACACTCTTGTAGGACACTCTTGTGGGACACAATTGTGAGACACTCTTGTGGGACACTCTTGTGGGACACTCTTGTGGGACACTCATACGGGACACTCTTGTGGGGCACTCTTGTAGGACACTCTTGTGGGACACTTTTGTGGGACACTCTTGCGGGACACTCTTGTAGGAAACTCTTGTGGGACACTCTAAAAGGACACTCTTGTGGGACACTCTTGTGGGACACTCTTGTAGGACACTCTTGTGGGACGCTCTTGTGGGACACTCTTGTGGGACACTCTTGTGGGAAACTCTTGTCGGATATTCTTGTAGGACACTCTTGTGGGACACTCTTGTGGGACACTCTTGTGGGACACTCTTGTGGGACACTCTTGTGGGACACTCTTGTAGGAAACTCTTGTGGGACACTCTTGTAGGACACTCTTGTGGGACACCCTTATAGGACACTCTTGTGGGACACTCTTAAGGGGCACTCTTGTGAGACACTCTTGTGGGACACTGTTGCAGGACACTCTTGTGGGACACTCTTACGTGACACTCTTGTAGGACACTCTTGTGGGACACTCTTGTAGGACACTCTTGTGGGACACTCTTGTGGGACACTCTTGTAGCACACTCTTGTAGGACACTCTTGTGGGACACATTTGTGAGACGCTCTTGTGGGACACTCTTGTGGGACACTCATACGGGACACTCATACGGGACACTCTTGTAGGACACTCTTGTGGGACACTCTTGTGGGACACTCTTGCGGGACACTCTTGTAGGAAACTCTTGTGGGACACTCTAAAAGGACACTCTTGTAGGACACACTTGTGGGACACTCTTGTAGGACACTCTTGTGGGACACTCTTGTGGGACACTCTAAAAGGACACTCTTGTGGGACACTCTTGTGGGACACTCTTGTTGGACACTCTTGTGAGACACTCTTGTGGGACACTGTTGCGGGACACTCTTGCGGGACACTCTTGTGGGACGCTCTTACGGGACACTCTTGTAGGACGCTCTTGTGGGACACTCTTGTAGGACACTCTTGTGGGACACTCTTACGGGACACTCTTGTAGAACGCTCTTGTAGGACACTCTTGTGGGACACACTTGTGAGACACTCTTGTGGGACACTCTTGTGGGACACTCATGTGGGACACTCTTGTGGGACACTCTTGTACGACACTCTTGTGGGACACTCTTGTGGGACACTCTTGCGGGACACTCTTGTAGGAAACTCTTGTCGGAGATTCTTGTAGGACACTCTTGTGGGTCACTCTTGTAGGACACTCTTGTGGGACACTCCTGTAGGAGTCTCTTGTGGGACACTCTTGTAGGACACTCTTGTGGGACACTGTTGTGGGACACTCTTGTGGGACACTCTTAAGGGACACTCTTGTGAGACACTCTTGTGGGACACTGTTGCGGGACACTCTTGTGGGACACTCTCGTGGGACACTCATACGGGACACTCTTGTGGGACATTCTTGTGGGACACTCTTGTAGCAAACTCTTGTGGGACACTCTTGTGGGACACTCTTGTAGGACACTGTTGTGGGACACTCTTGTAGGGCACTCTTGTGGGACACTCTTGTGACAGACTCTTGTAGGAAACTCTTGTGGGACACTCTTGTAGGACACTCTCGTGGGACACTCTGGTGGGACACTCTTGTAGGACACTCTTGTGGGACACTCTTGTAGGGCACTCTTCGTACGAGACTTCCTCCAAAAAGTCACACGTCAAGTCTCCAAAACAAGCGTTTCGTACGAGACTTCCTCCAAAAGTCACATGTCAAGTCTCCAAAACGAGCGTTTCGTACGAGACTTCCTCCAAAAGTCACGTGCCAAGTCTCCAAAACGAGCGTTTCGTACGAGACTTCCTCCAAAACTCACGGGTGCCCTGAATACTATGTCTATGTTGTGTCCGGTCACATAAAGCATCAATTTCTGCCAGGTGGCATCAGTCAAGCCGCCGGCATTCCAAGATTGGTCGATCCTCCAGCTTGTGGTGAGATCTTGCACTCCGGGTTGAGAGCAGCACCAGTTGTCGGAGGTGAAGAAGATGTGCATCAGCATTCTGCCCTTATACGTGGTGCATCCCGTGGTGGCCAGGCGTCGCAATGCTTGCCTGAAACTCCTTTCGTAACCAGGTGGGATTACTCCACCAGTGGGCCCAGCTGGAGGTTGGGCTGCAACACCAGCAAGTAACTCATCACACACAAAAACTACTCTGAGATTGTCTTCCATGTTGACGTGCAACATGAATGGAAACACCGGATTTCGCATAGTATTTTCCAGCTGGAATCTCAACCTGGTGAGCCACAACACTGTGTATCCATATTGCTTGACTTCAGACTGAGCGCAGTGTATGAGGATGGTAGTTCCACTCAAACACCCATGGGCTGCATCCTCGTAGGCGTTTGATCTTTGCCATCAAGCATAGACCTGGAAATTCTGGTGGTAATAGTTACCTTGGAAATCAAACGGTTGGTTGACTGCGGCCACATTGGGGCACCTCACAGCCACATATCTGCACGCCAACACATTGCAGAAAATCATTGCCCATTGATCGAAAAAAACCGTTCTTTGAAGGCACCGATATATAGGTTTCCACGGTCAACCTCTCTTGGAAGTCCTATACGAGGTACCTAACGGAAAGTGATCGGAATCACTCATGCGAGAAATCTAGGGATTTGACCTCTGACTGGCAGGAGTTGGGGTGTCTACCCGGCCCAGAACCCAAACACCTGTTTGGAGAAGAATGGAGCAGCGGCAACGTTGCCTAAATTATGCCTCCGGAAAACACCAAGACCTACGAAACGCCACGCGACAGTGATTCCTTGGGCGAGTGATCAGTCCGGGTCTGCGACTCAACAAGTGACGCAGTGACTCAATGTCAAAGTCTGCAAAACGAGCATTTCGTACGAGACTTCCTCCAAAAGTCAAGCGGAAACACCCATCGGAGCACACACATCACGCAGCCCTGCCAAGCAGTTTCGCGAGTCCAGCCCCTCCAAACAATACCCGCTCACACGCCAATCCCACTGTGACAGCGACATTCACCTCTACCACAACTCACACCCTCACAATCCCTGCGCCTGCCACGAATCTTTTCGCATCCACACGTCTAACGCGCACAAAGTATTGTGCCTGCCACGAAATGTCACCTCCGTCACACCTCGCAACCTCACGATTCCCTGCACCTGCCACGAAAATCGCACTTCCACACTTCAAAATCCGCACAAAGTACTGCGCCTGCCACGAAAAGTGACAATATCATCTCATGTGAGCTTCAACAAAATTTGCACCACACCACACGTTTGGAATGATTTCGACCCGTTCTGAACACACTCCCATCCACCAAAATCGCCATTTCAGCTGAGACTGGTCACGAAAACAGAGCTTCGATGCCACACCCTGAAACGCAAATCCCAATGGCACGGCCACATCCAACACCCCAAAAACACGACTCTCCAAACGCTAATCCAAATGGAACTGCGTAGCAAACTGAGGATCTCACAAAACGCTGCGCCTGTGCAGCGAAATGCATCACGTTTCTTGCGCGACATGTCATTTTCATGCAAATCACAATGGAATAACGTCGCAAACTGACACGTGACACATCCATGAAAAGTCACTTGCAAAAGCTTCCCCCAATGGCAGCGCCTTAGCGCTCTGCCGCGAACGGTTGCGAACGGTTGCGAACGGTTGCGGACGGTTGCGGACGTAGAAACAACGGATCGCGAACAAGGCTCTACCCCCAAACCCCCAAGAGTTAAACGAGAACCCTTCGCTACGCATTCGGGAATAAAGTAAATAAAAAGCTTTGGCCCCAGATGGCTGTAATCTTTTTGGAGCCGCACCCATCAATTTTAGAAACCACTGGACTATGCCAGAAGGACCTGTTTATTCCTGGCAACAACAGTGGAGTTGTTGGAGTCATCCTGTAGATCAAGCGATCAATGCCAGGCCGAACATCCGAGAAGCCAACCTGGCGTCTCTTGATGCTGTCTTCAACCGGCTGGTGGGTCATGGCACTGGAGACCGAACGGTTTGACCTGTTTGGACCCACCTGGTGTTGGTCTCACTCGCGGTCTTCAGGGTGGAAGAGCTCCAGGTGGAGGGTTCGATCCATCCATCTGGGTGTGTAGCTCAAATCAAGGAGACCTCCCAGGCGCCACAACCCCCGGGAAGCTTGCCCAATCCACGAATCCAGCTCGGCCACAGGAGACCTCCCACGGCCCACGCCTGCGCCCGAGAGCAGGTCCTGCGCGCTGCGCTTCGTTGTTCGGTTCTTGCATGTGTGGCGAACGAGGTCGAAGGGAGCTGAGCAGACATGGTCAACCGAATGTAGACTCTTCATCAATAAACCCACCCAGAGCTTGTTCCATTGCAGCCAACCTGAGCTTCGTTCGCTCGTCGCACGTGCGAAATCGCCGATCGCATGGTGAAAATCTTGAGCATTGGAATTCCCTAACTTGACCACTTCCCTAGCTCGTTCGCCCGAGGGAACGGCGTTGACGAGGCAACCATCGCCCCAGACCGGTCCAAGCTCAGAAATCTGTCCGGGTCCCTACATGCCCTCTCCGACTTTGGCCACACCTGGATGTTTTTTTTTATGTGGGGGATACTCACCTCGAGTTGATCCCGCTTCCTCAAGCCAAGGTCATCAAACAGGGGGGTCCCCACAAAGTCGTGGAAATGGTTTCACGCCATCTCGTTTTAGCCTGTGCCTTAGGGAGATCCATGCCCCACAGCACAAAGGGGAGCATGCCAAGAGGAGAAGGAAGAGGCTTCCTGGAGTTGTGTTGCCTAACTGCCTAACTGCTTTGTAGCGCACGCTCGCATGTTGTCATGTTTACACGCGCTCGCCGGGGCCGCCGCAGACGAACCGCCGTGTCCCACCGGACCCGCCTTCTTCAGCACGGGCGGGTCGCTGGCCTGTCCAGCGGGTGGTGCTCTTTTGCGGGGGAAAGAGGAGGGAAGGTACGAGTATGTAGGGTCAGCATTTCTGGGCCTGCAAGAGCCTGCAAGGCCATCGAGCCCACCCTGTTGCTCCTTTTGGGGTCACCCCACAATCTGTGCGCAGTCCCAAAGGCAATGCTGACCATTGTTGCTGCAAACAAAAAAGCCCACAAATAGATCGCCAAATCCGTATGCCAGCCTCTCCTTATCCAGCGTGCTTTCTAGTTTTTGAAACCCACCCGAGCCATCATTTTGACCCCAAAGCAGCACCGCAGTGTCATCGCCCCGAAACCGAACCGACCGCGACCGTTTTCGGCTTCGCGGCTGACCGCGACCAGCGACTGGTCAGCTTGCCTCGATGAAGGAGACACAGCGCGGGAGGTTAAAAGGATGACCTGGGCGGCGACCAAAAGATCTGATACCTAGCACTTCCAACGGGTGCTCAATGGAGACCTGTAAGTAGGGTGGGGTAGTCTATTGGACACCCAATGGACGACCCTGATAAATGTACACATGTTGCAACATGTGAGTGTCATATGAAGCCATGACCCACAGCCATGTCTCCTTTGAGGTCCTGAGTTTTGAGGTCCTTTTTGTCCTGGGCGGGATGAAGGCACCCGTGCCCATAGCGGACGGGACGAAGACGGGACGAATGGAAGGGTGACATGGGGAGAGAGAGGCAACGTGTGGAGACGAGCCAGTTCTGGATTGCGATGAGCTTGGTTTTAAGTAGATCAAGGAGACATAGAACATCTGGGGTCACGGATGGATGTCACTGTTGGTTTGTTGGACATTTGTTGAACTGGCTGGGTGGAAGTTTCTTGGCGCATCCCACGGCTCTGCTTCCCACATCATCGAAAAACCTTGAAGACCACCTCGTCAATCCATCCAAACCCTACACTACTTAGGGATCTCCATTGGACACCCATTGGATGGTCCTGCTAGTCTCATACAGTAGATTGAGAGTAGATGGTACAACCCCCAAGTACGGGAGGTTTATCTCGACCCCCATCTGAAACAACTCTTCGGGTGCCAGTGGAACCTCGAACGCAGAAACGCGGCGTAAAACACCAGACATCCCTTGAGCTCCACGGTGGAAATGATGACATTCAACCCCGACATCTTCACTGAGCTCCACGGCCCACCAAGCTCAAAGCATGCTCCTTGCCCTGGCGACCGACAGGCGGTGGCGACCGTCGGACCTTGGGGGGTGCTGCCCGGATGACCGTGACAGACCCAGCAAGGCCCAAGTGCTTATGATGAACATCATCCACAAACCACATCAGCCATCGAGACACCCAAAAATGCATGAGCAACTAGGGTGATCAACAGTGACACCAACAAACCAGCGATTCGCTTGTGTTCATGTGTCCGATAGATTGTAGAGCTACGCTTCGTATGCACAAAACGGGACTTCCGGTCTCGGGTTCGGCCTTTTTGCGTGACCTGAAGAACCCAAACCCACCGGTACGACCAGTCAGAAATGATTGGTGTTCGACACATCTCCATCTCGGGACCATGTCCATATCATCTACAGTGGTTTCAGAGTAGATGGCACAGACCTCAAGATGTCCTTTACATGGGGGTTCATATAAACCACCTCTGGGGGTCTGCCATCTACTATACATTAGGGGCGAACTTGTTCGCCGGTCATCTCCCATCACCTTTAGTAGGGCATCCAACGTGCGTGCTGCCTCTTGCAACACGTAAGACCAGGCAATACCAAGTATATAATTAATTGACCCAAAACGGTGGTTTTCCTCCCTCGCAATTGTTTGATTTGTTTCAGTTTGCCATCGAGGGTTCAACCCAAGAAATGCTAGGGTTTGACCCAAAACACAATGGCGAAGGAATGACCTTCAAACCCTCCCCTCAAATGCCCTCAAACGCAACGCCACCGTGATCAAATGGTTTTGCTCACTTCGCTGGTCGCGAGCCACTAACTGCCATAGCTAACTCGCTGACGGACGCACGTCCTTTCTCTGCCTTGGTCCTTTCCGGCCCGGCTTCCGATGGGAATGGACACAGTGGTTTCAGACCACTCCGGGGCGGGGGGTCGAGTGGTTTCGTGGCCTCCCTCCACAGTGGTTTCATCACCCCTGACCCGTAAATTGACTGAACCAAACAAAGTGGCCTCCTCAAAAACACACCTGTGCTTTTGGGGAGTGGAAGTGGCCACCCTTTCGCAATCGTATTCTTTTTTGGTCGAAACCTTAGAAAGCACGGTTCGTACATATCATCCTCCCAAGCGTTGCAAAAAAATGTGACATGTCTCAAAACGAAGGATGCCCACCAATGAGAGATTTGGTTGCGAGCGAAACCACCCATACCCAACAAACGCCTCCACGCACACAAGCATCATGACCCCATCCTAAGCGGGAGGCAAGGCTGTGTGGCTGTGGTTCACTGGCAGAGTGTTCCATAAGAAATGCAGTGTTCAGCAGCTTAAAAGAACACGAGTCTAGCAGCATTAAAGGTTGAAAAATCCTCCGTAGCTTTTGCGTGGTTTTTCCATTTTTATCCCCATCACAAACTCTTCCTACAAACAATCCTGAAATGATGGGCCCATCTTGTACAACTTGGCGGCTCGCAAAACTGGAACAACAGCCGCGTGATATATGTAATGTACTTGCATTCAACGTAGAACTGTTCAATCTACTGTTTTCGCTAGGACAAACGAATATGGTCAATTTTCATGTTACTACACATATACTTGCATTCTTGTGAGCAGGCACTCTGATGTGTATCACAAACGTGTTGGGACATGCGTTGTGCCAATATTGCTATTGCTACTACAACAAATACACAGCACATGCTGCGATATGTTCTGGCCAAACTCGCAGTATTTATTGTGGGTTCCATGGGCATGCTTTGACATTGTTAGCTGTTACGGTTCGCTCTCGCTTGCACGTTTGATAGACAAATGGGATGAGAGGTCTGCGCACAAAACCAAACTGAATGACTCGGAGACCACGGGACACCAGACTACTCAACCCCGTTGAGCTGCAACGGATTGCAACGATGTATAACGGTGTATATATTGAGAGGACCAATGGCACAGACCCCAATGTCGGTGGTGAACATATGAACCTCTCCATGTTTTCAGGACATCTGTTTAACGGTCTGTGCCATCGAACCTCTGAAACGACGGTATATACTAACGCATTTGGATGTTAGCAGCCCCGCCGACCAGGCTGGTAGGACATGTTGATGCATGGAGACGGAGAAGCACCGTCCTAACGGCCCCGCGCACGATGGAGTTCGCACGAGAAAGAACCAAACCGGGGCTGCAAACACGAGAGACAACAACTGCAGTCCGGGCCTGTGCAGTCGCTTTCTGCTTTGCGCTTACCACCTTCTCGATTATCGATTTTCCGAAGGCGTCTTGTGGTGCTTGCTGAAATGTTTATCTTCGGCTGAGAGCACAGGAAGGGCAGCAAGGCTGTGTTTTTGCACGTTCCGACCTCAATGTCTCAATGTCCTTTTTGGGGGCCAGCTGAGAGTTGGAGATGATAGGAAAACTATGCAGCAATTGAAACAAACATTGCCGTTGCATCTCAGCCCGTGGAGATGTTGGCATTTGATTCAGACCGTCAAACAACAGTAGTACGATGTCGAATGCTACCAGTGTCTATCGCCATGCCGGCGCTGCCTCTGAAGAATCTGCGATAATGGGGGCACACGTCAACAACGCTGTTGTCAAAACCATTCTTGCACCATCTTATACCACCAACATTCCTTCCTGCTCTACATGTTACCTTCGGACGGCCGACAAAACATGTGCTACGCTGGAATGCCGCCTCCTCCCAACTCTGAACATATTCTCGGGCACGCTAAGATAATTCTTTCCTGCTCCAAGCTATACCTTTGAGTGGCCCACAAAACGTGAGAAATTCCATTTCCAAGATGCGTTCCAAGTTGGAATTGTTCTTTCCTGCTCTAAATGTCAACCTTGGTGGAAGGAATTTGAGGAGAAGGCTTCGTTTTGGTTTTCCGGCCTCATTGCTGTCCAGGAAATTTGCAAATGATCACCTCCACCTGCATGATTGGCATTTTCTGTTTCTGGTGTTGTTTCTGGTCAAAGCAACAACCACAACAACAACCAAAAACAGCAACAAAAACCACAGCCATAGCCACAACAAACCACCACCATCCAGGTGCAATGGGCCAACAAAGAAGTGGCAGCGCCTTGCTTTCATGTCAACAAGCAAAAGTGATTTGTCCAGGAACTAGCATTGGTGTTCAGAACCTTCATCTCATTTTGTTTTATGTAAATTTCAGTTTTTTTGCATTTGCTTGTCAATGTTCTGGTACATCTGGCTTTCAGTTTCATCTTGGGGTCATGGTGCTGGCCACCCCCCATTCATGTTCCTCCATAGCTCATAGCAAACCTAGATTCACCAATGGTGTGCTTGCCAAACTGGGTCCAAACAATACGTTGGTGAATGCTCTACAGTACAATAGGAGTAGAACATGCATTACAGCACGTCCTGCAACAAACATGGGGCGATTGGAACCCGCGGCGGACGCCTGGAGCTATGAGGGCCGCCCGGTGACAGGGCCAAGGGTAGAGATGGAAGTAGAAGGTGGATGACGGTGGAGTAGATTTCGATCGTCAGAAAGCAAACCGCAAACCGTTTGGCACATGAGACCATTTCTCGTGTGGAAATAGCTGTGGTGGAGCCACCGACATGACAGGATCTCAAAAGGCCACACTGAGGGCACTGTGATGAAATTGGTTTGGGAACTGCAGAGTGGCGCCTAGTACACGAGGCCCCCGTACAATATACACAGTGGATGACCATCCCATTGACTCACTACAGCTGTGTTAAGGCGGATTAAGATTACGGCACATGTGGCTATGGGGCTGTGGGTCAAAACACCTTCTATCCTTAGGTCTCCCCAAATTACGGACCAACACCCCTCACTGTGTAGTGTTGTTTGTGAGCCCTCCAAATTTACCTGCTCCCCCGGTTGCCGCGAAGTGTTATAATAAACTCTCCATGAATTAACCAGGCTTTGCAAATCAACCACTCGTCAGAACCTTCTTTACCGGCCCGAGGACAAATACTTCCATACTGCGCAGAACTTGGAGACTCGTTGGGTGGGCAGGCCCAGTCTCCAAGTTGTTGAAAAAGGGTATACTGAGGACAGAATTGAATGTTGCCCTGAAATCACGAAAATTCATCCAACATCTGCAGGTGCTCCCATTCTTGATGAAACATATTCACACAAAAAAGACACCCCGTCCCCAAAAATGCATGAATCATGAGGCCCCTTCTCCTAACCTTCCACAGATTTCCGGTGATTCGTCCAGAAGACTCCAATCCGGACAATTCCAACCAGGACTCTGCCAAAGGCCATGCTCGCTTGGCGGTCAAGGGGGTCATCCTCCTCAGAAAGCGGCAACCGGCAACCACCACCCAGGCTCTGACTCCCAAACTTAATCGAAACGAAAACTGTCAAGGAAGCCGTTTCCTTTTGGTTGACCACTTCCCTTTACCACAACCCATCCCTATCCATCCCCCCAGCCCTCCTCACCACCCCACCACAAAAGGCCACGCAAAGCAAATTCTACTGCGCCCTTCAGCTCTTCAGTCTCTATCCCTCTCCCTGCCATCGAGGGACGCGGTGAAGTCTTCTCCGCCGCTCTTCACCATCAAGGCCTCACTACTCAGCAGCGCCCAGGTGTCGCCTGCATGTCTCCGCACGGACGAGCCGGTGCGGTGGTGTTCATGTGGAGAAGTAGACTACTGGGGGTAGATGGTTCAGATGGAACATGGAACAAGAGATCAATATCGAATGGGGAGAAGGAATGCTAGTATCTGACAGTAGCCAAAGTGCACACCTCAAAAAGCCAAAGTGTCATGGTGAATGGTCTTCCATTGAAACCGGAGACAATACCGATTAAATACCGCAAGCCTGCAAGCGGGGAACTTCAAAACCAGGGTACCCGGCTGCCATGCTCTTTTAAGAATTGCTACCGATGAGGAAGCGACTCTCTCTGCTCACTGGTAAATGCAGCTGCTAAGCTGGTACCTATGGAAAAACTGGTCATCCAAAGCCCCAACAAGAATCCCCAGACTTGGCACAAGTGCTTCGAAACTGCCAGAGGTAATCCAAAAAGGACATGTTCTTTCTTCTCACCCCTTCTCTCTCTCTCTCTCTCTCTCCCTCCGTGCGGGCCAGGCCTTGCTCCGGAAGGTGCTCCTTCACCAACTGGGAGAAAGAACCTGCAGCGCTTCATCACGCTCCCTACCACGCAGCAACACGTGCGAAGCGCTTTCTTCTGCGCGTCGCGGCAAGTGGTTTTCCCACCTCGATGCCACACCACTCCCGTCGCGATGCCGATCTTTTATTGAAATTTATCGTGTTATCGGGAGAAGGGTCAAACTCCAACCAATTCCAAGAGCATGCTCTTCCATTCCAGAATCTGCGACCATCCGCCATCCGCAACCCGACCCCCCGTCTTAAGAGCAGCCTGTTTCTCGGACCAGTTTCACCGAGCAGAACAGCGTCAAACACTGGATTTACAGTCCACGAGACTGGCATGTCACAGAGGTAGTAGATGCTCCACATAGTTCAAAAGGACTCCAGTTGTGTTTTGCTTTCGGCGCTTCAAATTACTCACAAACACACTTGCGCACTGCCAAATGCTTCACGTTCGCATCATGAGAATTGTCTGCAACATCGCGCTACACCCGCAGGCACCATAGCCGACATGCCTTTAAAGTCGACCGTCCCCTCATCCTCGTAGCCGTCTGTCCTTTCTCACTCAAACCGATGCCTGCACCATCACAGGTTTACTGAGGGACACACACAGATTCAGTGGCTAATTGCTTATACCGTAGACTCTTGATGACCATATGAAGAGCATGTCCAATTCAAATGGGAGGGTGTATTAATCAAGAGTCTACATTACCGTATACCCCCTGAAACCGTGGCGCCATGGGCTAGCTGCTGGGCTCGGTCTGGGTCTATCAGCCCGTCGTCCGCGGGATGGGCCATGGCCTGTTGAAGCCACCATCCAGTTGGCCCGTTGGTTTTCACCATGGCTCATCCCGTTAAGTCTGCTTTGTCAAAAAAAAAATGTAATCTGAGTCTCTGATGGCAAATCAACCGCTGCCTTTTGGTGGTTGCCATGAAAAAAATGCCAAACCTGAAAGACATTCGCTCCCCCAGCGTTCCCAGGTTCCCTGACACCCCCAAACCACCAACGATGTCTCTCCACGGCTGACCCTGTCTCCAAGGGGCAACGAAAGGCATGGATGATCCGCGGAGGCGCTGCCTGTTTCGCCGGGGAAAGCCAAACAAGGCTGATGATGGTAGCGGAGCCCGTGAGGGCGAAGCTGCATTCACATGTAGACGACAGATATCTAAAAACAGCCTTAACATGATGATGATGATGATGATGATGATGATGATGATATTTCAGAAGGATTTCAAGACGGCCTCCACTTTTCCAAAGGTGTTCGTGTTTATCAATAGGAGCTTTGGTCCAGGGCAGCAAGCCGAAGACATACACCGACCTACACGACAAACAGCTACGCTCAGCCCCGCTGGCATCTCGGGGTGCATCAATCCTTGCACTGAAATGCCTTGGGTCTATCCTTCTGACCTGTAACAGTGGATGATGATGGTTAGGTTGCAGGCCTTGTTCCAAAATAGTAATACTTGTTTACGGGTCCTGTTACAGGTCAGTTCGGACAGACCCACAGGTCAATGCCATCAGCTCCATCAAGCGTGGCAAGGAGTCGATGTTGCTCAGCTCCACGTGTCACCCAGCTGCATCTTCGCATCTTCGACCCGTCTCGTCTCTCGTCTCGACCCATCTCCGCTCCACAAGTCCGGTGCGGCAGGACACCAAGAGAGGTGAAGTATGTCACCGGAAAGTCTAGTTCGGAAACCTATGTGACTTATATTAGTATGATCAACCTATGAAATAGTCTAGTTCGGGTCCTTCAACAACCTTTCCTTTCTACTGTGGTGTCTCCTTGCTTTCTGTGAGGTCTTTCCTTGGCAACCTTCCCTTTCTACTGTGGTCACACCTTGCTGTTTCTGACTTTCTGTGAGATCATTCCTGTTGGCTTGCGCCGGGCTTCTCGGGCGCACGGCATTGCGAAACGTCGCGTGCATCGCGGTCCCCGCGTCATGTTCTCGGCCTCGGGTCGGTCCGTGGCGCGCAGCGCGCAGCGGCGACCGTTGGTGTCGGCACATGGGCCAGTCATGGCTTCACCAAGTGTGCATTGGCCTGCGGCAAGCCATGCGAAACACGCCAAGTTTCTTCAGGAGTCGTCCCCGATTCTCCAAGGACTGACCCTTGTTTGACAGCATCACACGTCTGACAGGCAGCTGATCCTGAGTGTTGCTAGCAGTGAAGACCGGTGAAGACAGGTGAAGACCAGTGAAGACCGATGAAGAATCAAGGAAACGGACAATTCTGATTCTTTCACACACACCCTGCAGATGAATGCGCAACCGCTCTTGGAACCCGCCATGACTGGTAAGGTCTTCGGAAAATGGTCCAACACCACGGGTTTTGCCTTCGAAAAGGGTCCCTGGGATCGTCTGCAGAGGAGTAATCCTCCTTGATCGCCTTGTCGTTGCCACAGCAGTGATCCATACACGGATCAAGGCTCTGATCCATCGCTTCTGGGAGCAAGAAGCTACTAGTAGCTCCTGGCCACACTACTAGTAACAAGAAGCCACTAGGAACAAAGGGGTATCTTGCTACTAGTTGCTTCTTGCTCTTATCCTTTGTTACTAGTAGCTTCTTGTTCCTTGTTGTAATGCCCGGAGCTACTAGTAGCTATGGCTTATATAAGGCTCTGATCCAAGGCCTAGCGATCAAGTAAATTGCTCACTTCATCCAGCCAACCACACTTGCCACGTTGAGGACACCAATGGTGCGCATGGGTTCTTGATGTCTTTGTGCGGGGGTCATGACGTCAGACTACATGCAGCACGGCTTTGTTCGGTTTTTTTGCTCATGCCTGGCACACCCGCGACAGTTTATCAAGCAGGTTAGCATTGATCGGGCGCCACTTTCGTAGCTTCCGGCGAACAGTCTGTTGGTCCATGCATTTTCCTGTTAGTGGCCTCAAAGCAATAAGCCGCTGACATAACAGTCCGCGGAAGAGCAAGAACCAAAGCAGCGAGAGCCGGATCTTCGTTCCGACGATGTCTTCGTCGCCCATCTTCCAAGGGAATGTGCATTTTTCCGGGGGCAAATGAAAGGGCGAATGTAACCCAAGCAAACCCTTCGCATTTGAGGGGTTTATCCAGGGTTGACGTCTGTTAGGGGTTGATGTCTGGGTTAATGTCTGTTAAGGCTGAAAGGAACCCAAACAAACCCTTCGCCCGGTCCACGGGGTGAATACACCTATCGTTCCACCATGAGGTGTGCAAGAGGGTGTCGACTGTCATTGCAGTTGAAAAGTTCAACACCAAGGATCAGTAAGCGAGAAAACGTATAAACATATCATAACATATCTATGGTCTATGTTCATGCAAGAAGTTCTGAAACAATTTGAACCATTGACATTATGACATTATTGAAATAACACATGGAACCCGGAGAGCACACCTGCAGCTGGAGAAGTGGATCAGAAGAAGTCTCCCGAAAGGTGTTCAAATGCCTTCTTCAACAAGGGGTTCCACCATTCCAAAACCTTGGAAAATAGATCTTGGTGTAACGGAGTCACGTTGATCGAAAAACTCGGGGTGCTCCTGCGCTGCTGGTCTTCCCCTGTTCCCATGTTCTGCATGCCTTGGAGGTGGAAGAAGAGGCCTCGCTGGCCTGCAAATCGGTTTTTCGTGACCACAAAAGGCTTTGATTTTCCTACACACATGTCCTCCAATATTTCGCAATGTAGCAAGACTAGTCTGTAAAATCAGATCTTCCGTCACATGCGCGAGTGGAGTGAAGTCCTGTGAATCCTGCTCTGGCAACGACCCCAGTTCTGCTTTTGTTGACTGTGGAACCTGGGAAAACACGAAAAACTACAAAAATAACCATTGGAACGACCATGCCATAAGTTTTTAAATAGCCTGGGCCTGAGTCCCGAACAAGTTCTACTCAGGATTTAACATTGCAGATCAACAGATCATTTGTAAAAGAAGCTTGATGGGACTGGCGGCTTGATGCTCTTGGACCAGTCCAAAAAGGCTTCGGATTCCGTGGCCCACCGCGGCTCCGCGGCCGACGCGCCGCCTCGAAGCCGCGCACCATCTGTCGGCCGCTGCTCCAAATGCAGCGCCCGTCGCTGGCGATGTAAAACTCCTGGCAGCGCGCCCCGAAACCGCGTGAAACCGAGTCGAAGCCGGGCGCGAGGAGTCTTGTCTCCCTTCTGTCTCCTTTTGTCTCCCTTCTTGTCTCCCTTCTTGTTGGTCACTGCATCCGCCTTGTCTCAGACAGAAGGGAGACAAGGCAGACACAGTGCAAGGCAGGACACAAGGACCAACAAGAAGGGAGACAAGACCGGAGACAGAGGGAGACAGAAGGGAGACAAGGCGGACACAATGACCAAAAAGAAGGGAGACAAAAAGGGACACAAGGAGACAGAAGGGAGACAAGGCGGCCACAGTGACAAGAAGGGAGACAAAGGGAGACAAGCCGGACGGAAGGCGGACACGCTCTCCCGCAGCAAGGCGGACACTCTTAGAAAGCATTGAGAACGCCTGTAACCTGCTTGAGAAAAATCACCTGGCAGACAAAAGTTAAAGAATAGAAATGCTGCATGGCCAGCGGAAAAGGGAGGACACTAGCAGTGCAGGCACCGAACCTGGGAAACAAAAGTAAAGAAATCACATGGGAGACAAATGAATAGAAATGCCGCATGGCCAGCGGAAAAGAGCGGGAGACAACTGAATAGAAATGCTGCATGGCCAGCGAAAAAGGGCGGACACCAGCAGTGACAGGACACATTTTAAGAAAGAATTGAGAACCCCTAACAGTAAACTGCTTGGGGAAAAGGGCAGGTGAGGAATGAACGAGACGGACCATTCTGGAACGATTCCATCATACCCCCCTGCAGATGAACGTGGAACCAGTTTTGGAACCGGTTGCCGCCACGACCGGAACCGGTCTTCGGAAGAAAAAACGGTCGAACACCATTATCGCTTTCATGGGATCGTCGGATGTAGCTAGCCACCGAAACCACCCGAAACATCCCGAAACGACTTTGTGATGTTCAAGCAGCGTTTTGCTAATAAAAAAAAGAGATGCTAGAATGAGACTTAAAGAATAGTTTTTTCTGTTATGTTCAAGCAGCATCTTTTTTAATAACCGCACATGAACTGTGTAGTACGATCAAATGACCGAACAAAGCCACCTATTTCTTAGCGTATCCTCAGGTTCGGTGTTTAGACCCCCCCCTGGCACCCACCCCAACCATCTTCTCAGCAGGTAGTTGGAGCTCTAGGGTATAAACACATGACGGCACGTGTATTTGTAGACTTTGCAAGTAGAGCTTTTGAACCCTTCGACGAAGCTTTTTGGCTATGGGTCAAACACTTGGTACATCTCAGCACCAGCCCAGAGACTTAAGTACATGCTCATAAACCCCTCCGCAACCAAAAAGAGACCACAGTGGTCCACTGTCGAGTTGCCAGTGTCGAGTTGGTGACCTTACCCATCCCTTCCTCCTCTCCATCATTCTCCTCCCCATCCGCCTCCCCTTCGACCCGCTTCCGGGCGTGCTCGGCACGCCCAGCCGGCGCTGCCGCTCTCCTCTTCGGCCAGGATCCCATCGCGCTCCACAGGGAGCAGTTGGTAGTGCCCACCCGCCTCATCGGAGAGGAACCTCGGAAAGACTCGGCGGCCCGGCTCGGGCTCGGCTCACGCGGCTCTCTCGTAGCGCCTTCCACATCGGGGCTCTCGGGGGGAGGCCGGCTCGGCAGATTCAAGGGTTTCTCAGAGAAAACAAGGACCCCGGCCAAATTATAGGTAGAACATGGTGGAACAACTACGGTATCAGATGCTGTCGTCATTTGTACCAACCACCGGAAGGGAACATATGAATATCATGGCCTTGGGCAGCCAGAAACGGGCAGTGGCCCATGGAAGTCGGACCTCTGAAGACTCTGAAGGGTGCTTTTCATCCTCCGACGGCTCAACGTGCAACCGGTCCGCGGCCCAGTGGCCCAGTGGCGGTTGGCCCGGTGCCGCGGTGGAGATCCCGGCGGAGAAGGTCGGGTGCGGATCCAGCCCCCGGCAGTGATGGACCATGGTGTTGGGGTTTCACAGGTGCACGAGTGGATCACAATGCGGATCCAAAGCTTTTGACTTGACTTGAGATCAAGCTAAGGGACTCAAAAAAACTGTGGGAACTGGTGGTGCACAATGCTTCACCTGCATTTGATCCGCATGGATGCCGATCACCCAGAATTCCATGTCCACTGCCATTCGTTCGGAGTCCGACACAAGTGTTGGACTAGAGTCGGCTAGCGTCGAAGGGAAGCACCAAATGGAGTCCTACATTGACTCAACATGGAAGTGGATGGCATGGTCCTGAAAAGTGGACAACTGTCCTTGTCCCGAACAGTGGGGGCGCCATCTACTTCCATGTTACAATGGTTTCAGAGGTTCGATGGCGCAATCCCGGGCCCCTGAGTTTGGTGGTGCAATCATGGACCCCCATTAAATGAAATAAACGGGAGTCAAAGACTCTAAAAATAACGGTCTGACTAGGTGACTCGAGTCAAGGAATGTCCTGAAACCTTCAGTCGGTCCAAATATCGTCGAGCTGGACTTCAGTCGGGAAAAGACCTCTTTGGGTGCCAGTGCCATCCATTCTGAAACCGCTGTAATGAGTCGGAGTGTACCCACCGAGTGCGAGTGCGAGTCGGAGCCGAGTTGTCCACCCTGGTTGGCGGAAAGGAAAGGTGACGGCAGTTAGATGATCCAACAAACCAACGGGTCTTGCCTTTGCGCAGGTTCTCTCTATCATATTGTTAATAGAAGTAAACAAAGCTCGTAGGGTCTTGAAAAATCTCATGTGTATTCCAATAACACCCCCTACTTGTAAAGGAGTACGTCGTCTTCCGAACTCGGGGTCATGCCATCCACGTAACCATGTGTTCGGTGTTCGAAACCGAGTGAAAAAGGACTCAGACCCCAAGTGTCCTTGATGTCTTTCCATCAACCAAGGGCTCTGCCAATTCTGTGCCAGCTCTACACATTCTCTCAACATCCCAAAAGACTGGACAGGCCCCGCCATCAGGTCGTTCGAACCCGAACCGAACCTTGGAAGAAGACATGTCCAGGTGTGAACAGGGACGGAGACCGACCCCCCCAACGCACCTGTTGGCATCGACCCCCTTTCGGCATCGAAGATCCACCAAATCCAGACCGCCCAGCCCAACCGATCGGGGCGAGAAGCAGCCCGTGTCTCGCCCTGAAAATACACCCACCCGGCGCGACCCTTCGCGGTCCGACACCGAAAAACACCGGCTCCACTGAGCTTCCCCGGCTCTTGCCCGAACGGCACGAAGGGGCCTGGCACGAAAACGCCACGCGGCACGCGGGACACGGTGATGATCGGAGTTCACCCAGACGAACGAAGAAAACCTCTGATGTGGAAACGTGTCCATTCACACTACAGGAGATTCTGCATGGATGGAAGAACCCCAAAACCCATCTGAACCAGTTCAATGTTCAGGGTGCTTCCTCTTTTGTCACTCTTCCTTTCTTCATCTGCGTCCATGTGAACGTGAAACAAAGCTCTTGAAGAGCCTTGTCAGCCGGAAATGGACCTTGGACAAATTCTTCCCAAAAGGAATCCTCTCAAAATCCTTCTGTCGCCCAAACCGATGCATGCCTATGACCTTCTCCAACTATCGCCATAGCCTTCAGAATCAGGACATCCACTTCTTCAGCTCCCCAGACTTTGGAGGCTTTGCAGGTATATCACTGCTGACTTGCTTAGTAGCTGCTTGGACGAGGTGCTTCCACCCGATGTCGAAGCCTCTCCTCACCGCGTGTGTGGTGTTTCCAACCCAGCAAAACCCACCGCGGCCTAAAGCTATGACCGGCTTCGCCATGCCATGTTCTTCTCCGGACGCCCCCGTCCGGAGAACACGCAGAGGTCAGTGGAGTGGTGTTCGTGTGAAGTGATCATCTGGCAGGGTCTCTTTTTGGGTGTGTCTGTTCATAGGCAAGAGCTGGGGAAGCTCAGTGGAACCGGTTTTTTGGTGTCACAGTCGCAGGTCGCGCTGGGTGGGTGTATTTTCAGGGCGAGACACGGGCTGCTTCTCGCCCCGATCGGTTTGCTCTTTGATGCCTTTGGGGGTCGGAACGTTGGGGGTCGGTCTCCCTGTTTGAGCTACACACCTGTTCGGTGCTCCTCCATGGTCATTGATTGGCAGCCTCGGTCTCACCTATCATTTGGGGCGAACAGCACACCATGCACACCTGAGACAAAGGATTTAAGAGCTGAACGTTGCCGCAGTGCTTTTCTTTCGTGACAGGACTACAGGATTGAGTGGATTGAGGCGACAGTTCTTTTTGGTCAAAAGAGCGCATGTAAACAATTTGCTGTCCTTCTCTGTATGAAGCGGCTTCCTACCAAATCTTGCCGTATTCTTATGCGATTCTGTTGATTTGGCCTCGGCACCCTGTTTAGAGTCCAATCATGTCAATCTTTCAGAAGACCTCTGAAAATGAGGCCTCAAGTGACTCACATGTAATGGTGCCTGTCGAGCCCGATGTGTTTGCAGGCGAGACGGTCACGGTGCAGCGATTCAAAGCAAGACACCGAGAAAAGCGAGACGGTCACGTCGGTCGATGGCCCCTTAGCACCAAAAAAGCACCGTTAGCACAAGCTCGCAAAACATGGAGTACAGCCCCGAAAACTGAAGAAGACGGCACAAGTTCGCCTCAAAGCCTGTGGAATCCTCCGTTCCTCCTGAAAGTAGAGTTGAGTTCAAAGAGACTCCATCCTGCACCTGGAGGCTGTGCCTGGCGGTGTGTCTGCGCAGACACACCGCCAGGTCCAATAAGTTCTGCTCAAGCGAATACGCGATGTTCAACTCACCACTGTTCATCCCCCCTCTTCCTTTTTGCGATAAAAGTCCCTGGATCGAACAATCAAGAAAAAAGAAGAATTCCTCTGCACGGTATTGCTTGGCATTTGGAAGATGGCCTCCCTTCGGGTCTATGCCATCCACTTCCATGCTCCTTGGATGGGGATAAACCATCTTTGCTCCGTCGGCGTTGTTGAGGTGTGAAAAATTCTTGGTCAGGGAGTGCCCACACACCAAAAAGCTCCACAGTCCACAGATCTCCATGTGTTGAGCAGACGACACACCCAGTTGTCATGCTCACCCGGAAACCACCAGGGCACGGCCAGTGCACTGCCTGGAAATCCCAAAGACAAACGTGGCTCCTGCAGAGGATACGGAGGACTTGTCTATAGCAATACCCCAAAAAGACGAAGGCCCCACGGTGTTCGATGCTTTCGTGGACGCATCATGTTAGTCCAACGGAACCACGAACGAGTTTCAGGTCAATCCGGCACAAGCCTTCAATGCTCGGATGGGCTGCCCAGCAGTGAAGGATGTGGCATATGCGGAAAGAACTCGGTGCACCTAGAGCACCCAGATCGGATGTCTTTTTCTCAACGTTACGCTTGGAAGGTATGAAACCAAACCAAACATCGAAATAGATGCACATCCGATGATTTACACATTTCAATCCAAGCCCTTCTCATAAGGAAAGTTCTTTCGTGCGGGATGTGAACGCACCCTCCAATGAAGTCAACGAAGCGCCTTGGGGTCTGACTGTCATCGGCTTGTTCTTTCTCCACACGAAAATCACCGGCCCTGGTCAGAAAGCACCCTGTTTTTTGCTGTAGGATGATCATATCAATCTTGCCCAGCTTTTATATCTCCGGTCTGATCATATCAAGCAACCCGGCCGTCCGCTCCCCTTTTCTTCGCCACCCTGGCTAGTGGAGTGAACTTTGCCGTGCGCGACCATCCCTCGCCCCGTCCACCAAGAGCTTCCGGGAAGACGCCTGATGTTGTGGTGCAAAAATTGGTTCTGTGGTGGGTGAAAACTGTCCAAATCCGTTAGTGTCCAATCAGGTTGTACGGACAGCCGATATTTGAACCAAAGGCATCGGTTCACACTCCCACCGGTCGTAGGTTGCAGATCAGAAACCTGGGCGCATGGGTCGTAGTCGCCTGCAACTTCAAGAGGTCTTTGCCCCGGATTTTTTTTGAGATGTCCTCTTCGCTGTCCTCCTTGGGGTCTGAGGCTTTTGTTCTTCGCGCTTGGTGTCCCGATTCTCTCGCGCTCGCGGTCCTTGGGACGCGGCCATCCTAATTGATTGATCTGCGGAGTCGGAACAGAGTCTTCATGTGGTGCCCAATTTTCGCTGCTCACCAAGGTGTGTAGGCACTGGAAAGAAAAAGAGGAGACTGAACCACTCCTCCGGTTGGAAAGTTCACGCATATGTGTACCCATGAATGCTTCGAGCCCCTTGCCGTCTTGTCGGAGACGCGTTGTGGAACATGTCACGAATGCTTCGAATGTTTTTTTGGGTGGATTGAGAGAGTAGATGGCACGGTCTGGCCCCCAAGTTTGGTGGTTTACATTGACCCCCATCTGTTTAGGTCATTGTGGGGGAAACGTGCGCATCGAACCTTCCTCTGAAACCCCTGTACCCCAAAAAGGTGCAAGGCGATGTGTTTTCGTCGCCCATGTCTCGAAACAAAAGGTCGCAGATGGTGGATCCAGGAGGTCCTTTTTCATACGAAGGGGGGCCCCCCATTTGTTGGTGACGTGATCAGGTACCAACGGTTTCCATGGAGGAAGTCGGGTGTTCTCGGAGAAAAACAGTCGAGCTGCCCCGAACATTCACATTCACAGCCCCATCCATGGGACGAAAGAAACACCACCCCGAGCTCTGTCAATCCCGGTGCAGAAAGATATTTGGTTGGTCACCACCGACTGCGCATTTGGGACCACGCACGACGCCATTCAGAAACCCAGCAAGAGCTGTCGAAAAGCGCGTCGTCTCTTTTCAGAGACCCGCCAGAAGCTGCGACGACCGAAGCGCAAGGCGATGACAACCGATGCTACCCCTTTCAGTTATGAGGAAAAATGGGGATTCATCGGTGAAATTCGTGGCCATCTACATTCATTACTATATCTCTAAGGTTGACCAAAATACACAAAAATCATGACGAAGCTGTGCCAATCGATGACTTGGTGCCATCTGAAGCGATTCTCCTTTTCTTTGTGAAGCATCGCAGCTTCCCCTCGCACCGCCGGCAGCGGCAGCGGTGGCGGCCTTTCAGTGACGCCCTAGGCAAAAAGGGCAGGACCTGATCCTACCAACGAGTTCAGCGCTTTTTGCACGGCGCCCTGAGAAGATCGAGAACAGTCGAACGATCTTGAGGAGATACCCCCCAAGTTCGGGATGAACGGCGAACATCGTCACCCTTGAGTTTAAATGGGTTGAATCCCGAAGAGCGGAGGACGAGCTCGGGATTTTGCACTACAACCAAATCGCTGTCTGCGAGCTCGGGAGGTCTATAGAGTCAGAAGTCTCAAACCCAACTGTGGCTCGGGCGGTCTACTGCCACTTCGACATCCCGGCCCCTCTATCTAGCAAAGACGGCCCTGACCAGTTTCCCATCCAAAAATCGAATGTGTTTGACATACTTGAATAACCCATGTTCTTTGCTACGGAAAACCTGGTGTTGAGATGGTTTGTGGCACATCTGTCGAAACGCAAAAGACATGAACAGTCGAAACTGCCATGTTCAGAAGTCAAGGCCCTACAGCTCCTTGTGCATATCCTGAGAAGGTGGTTAGACCCCCCTGGCACCCACCCCAAGCACCTTCTGGGATGTGGGCTACAGTAGGTACCACATGGAACACCCACCAAAATCAGCAAGATCACAGGTGTTCTTCCATACGGCAGTCCAGCAAAACCGATGGCCACTCCGACACGTAGGCAGTCCAAACACCCGTGTTGCTGACGGTTTTGGATTTTGTCACAGGGTGGGCATGCCCACACATCGCAGGAGGGAGGGAGGGAGGGAGGGAGGGAGGGGGTCTAGTCCAGGGTGTTCCGAGATTTTTGTTCGAAGCACTGACACTGCACCTGATCCACAGTCTCACGGGCACCGCGAAAAGGAGTTCTGTAAAAAAGATGCAGAAGAAATCGGTACTCCACCCGAACAGCGCAGGTGTTCGGGTGGAGTGCAGCCGCTGTCCCCGAGACCACCCAGGAACGTTGACCCTGGGTTCTCAGGGAAGCTCGGGCGAGACGTGGTGATGGGTGGAGGGTTCTTCAAGAGGCTAGCAGCTCTGACAATTGATTCGCTCGCAGGTTTCGCTTCGTCTCAGGACCCTCTTAGCTCGCTTGAGAGATGGTGACCGGACCTGCGTCGCGTCGATTCCTCGACGACGACCGTCTTGAGGGATGCTTCTTGTCAGGTTCCTGGGACGAGAAGGAGTCGTTTCGAGAGCCGGCAAGACTCTTGTCTCAGTCAATGATCTACTCTCTGACTCACCTTCCCATGGAAAATGGAAAACCCATCATGATCATTGTAGATTACCCTGGTGGGGTTGGGCCCCCATTTAACAGTTGCGAAGAGCAGACGGAGCGCTCGCGCTGTCCATCGAAATTGTGTAACACTTGCAGCCGTTTCACCGTCTGGGGGGGGCCCAAACGCCTAACACGCCATGTATGTGGCAGTTCTTGGTCGGAAAGAGCTCGTGTTTGTGGCACGGTGCACCTCCACGAGCCACTAAGAACGTCCAGAAATAATTGGAAGAGAATGGTTGATCGTTTTGCCAAAGAAAACCCTTAGATACCCGTCTATCTACAGTTCTTTTTCTTCTGAGTCGTTTGACACTAGTGTGGAGGGTATCTAGCTCGCCCACGTTGCTACGGAGACACAAGCCCGCTTTCTAGCCTGAAAAACGATTGTAGTTGCAGACCTCCATGAGTTTCAACAAACTCCCCAGGCTGTATAGGTTGCTGTTTCCGATGTTCGCATCTTTTGAGTGGGTCGCTCAAAGGTTGAACATCGCGGGCAGAGGCAGAAGGATCACTGCTCACGTTCTCTGGCACCAAATCGCCAGGGCCCGTACTCTATAAATTCATTCGGGATAAAGTAAGATCACAAAGGCTTTGCACCTGTTCAAACACCTTTGCACCGTTGCATGGTTTCCCTTTGCACCTTTTCACGTGTTGTCATGTTTCTCAAACACCACAAAATGTTCGCCTCACAGTAAAAGAGAAACCTCTACCCGGGAGTTAGTCGGACTTCCTTCGTTTCAACCAGAAACACCCCCTATCACCCCTTCAAAACCTCCACATCTCTCCGAAAAAAACAGACCGCTGACAGTAGCAAGGGGCCTGCGGGTCAGCTGGCGGAGCTGGCTGCGCTCGCTGCGCTCAGTATTGGAAAATCACCAAGGACGCGGCCATAATGCCCATCCCCAAGAAGAAGGAGCAGGCCGTGTAGCGGTTCCTCGGTCGACACCGTGCACGCCGAAGACTTGAGTCGTCCCCCGAAGAAGCCGGGAAAGAAGCCGTGAAAGAAGCCAACAGATGCCAAGCATCCGGGACTTTAAAGAAGAAGAACTAAGGGACTCTCTTAAACTATATATCTCATCTCTCATCTCTCCCATCTCCATCTCCGGACATCCCGGTATACCTCGTGCAACACCAACTTCATCCACCATCGCTCCTCCCAGGGTGACGCTTTCTTCCCAACCTCAACGGCTCGCGCGTGAGGCAGCTCCCGCGGCCTTTCGCTCCCGGTCGAACCGGGGGAACGCGCCGGCAACGTGGCACGGGCGCGTATGAGAGGCGCGCCGGCGCGCTGTTTCGAAAACCACCGGCACCATATGGGGGGTGAGTCTTCATCAAGTGGTTTTCGCTCTTCTTGGATGGTGAGTCTCAGGTGAAAAATCACCGGCTCGGTCGCCCATCCGTTGCGGGGGACGGTAGCCATCCCGCGGTGCGCCGGTTCGTTCGCGCGTTCCGACGCGTTTGGGCCCGGGCCCAATCTCGCGACCCATTGGACCGGAGATTTGGCGCCTTGAACTGCCTGGAACCCAACTGACCCCTGTTTTGATAGGAAGTTTGCCCCTATTTTGGGTGGTTGGTGGTCCAAAATAGAGGTCATTCAGCTTCTAGGTGGATCCAATTCTTTTATGGAACTTGCATCTCTCTTTTTGTAGCCGTCTCAACTGAAAAGCCCAGGAACCGCCTTATTCAACCAGGTCCAAGGCACCGATTGTTTCGTAGCCCCAAGACGAGCGGAGGACTCCATCCCGAATCGACGGAAAAAAGAGTAAAAAATGGGTAAGGGATCAAAATAAAAATAAAAATAGAATCAAAAAAAATATTCAACGGGGATCAATAAAAAAAAATAAAAAGGTAATCAAAAAGTAATATTCTAGCCCACTGAGGATGGTTGGGGTAGTAGAGGAGAGTGTACCTCCCCAGGAGCTCCCTCCTAGTAGGGAGCTATTTCCACTGGTGAACCATTTTTCCAGTAGGGCTACTCAATGACTGGACGGCAACCTTATCGTTGGGTACCTACTTTCTTCCCAGGGAGCTGCCTCTAGTAGAAAGCAATCAAGCCTCTATTTGCGCAAGCAGGGGACCAGGAGATCGACAGACGAGCGCCGTAGGAGAGCAAAAGACCAGCGGACCAGGAGACAGAAGGACTAGGACACCAGGGGACCAGCGGACCACAGGACCAGAGGACCAGGAGACCGGAGGACTAGAAGACCAGTGGACTAAAGGACCAAGGGACCAGAGGACCAAAGGACCAGTGGACCAGAGGACCAAGGGACCAAAGGACCAAGGGACCACATTACCAGAGGACCCGCAGACCACAAGGCCAGGAGAGCAGCAGAAGAGGCCTATCAAGGAATATGTTTTTTTGATTCGCTGTTTATTTTTGTTTGATCCTGTTTTTATTTTTTTTAATGCTCTTTTTATTTTTTTTTGATACCTATGCCGTAAAAAAAGGTGTTTGCCGCCGAGCATCTCCGGGTCATAGCGCAAGGCAGAGGGCAAGAGCTTCTTAAAAGAGATGTGGATCTGCCGAACTCATCGAGATGGCGAGTTGGACGCCCATAAATCATGGTTTGATGGCTGACTCTGCGAAGGGGAAAAAACACGAACTGGGAGCGTCCTGCCCTTGTAATTCACTGGTGTTTCGTCACTACAGTTCATTCCTTTTCATTTGAAGTACATTTGCTAAAATCGAAAACCCTGCCCGAACATGCCCGAGAGCAAGTGAACTTCAGCTTCCGGAGACTCCCGTTGGGGCGGTACACATGGTGTGGTCGGCTCCTGGTTCTCATGACCATCTCCCATCGGTTCCCCTCATCACACCCTGGAATTCCATGATGATCAACGTGGAAAGGAGAGACTTGAAGGACCAAACGGGTGAGACGTGCTTCTCCATTTTGGATGTTGAGTGGGAGTGTACTTGCTGGTCTGGTTGACCACCCCAACTGTCATGGCACCAGGACACCCGACATGGTCCGGATTTCGGGCTCCGGGGAGGTAGGTCAACCCACAGCCATTGGACAGCTTTGTTCTGGTTTGGAGTGGCCCATTCAGCTACCCAATTCGCCCAATTCGCCCGGAGGTTGTGTACTTTTTAGGTTGATCGCCCCAGGCATTAGGATAGAACGATAGAACCTAGACTTGGAAAGCCATCGAAAACAACAAAACCGCGGACAAGAACGCGAAAAAGACACTGTACTAAGATTGAATATGAGAAAATTAAGAAGAATCTTAGATTCATGGTTCAAATGAATTGCAAGTGCATATGATTGATGGATGATAAAGGAGATGGGTGTTTGTTGTACCAACATGAAAAAGAAACACGAAACACGGGGGGACCCAAAACATCCCAAAACACCACCCTCCACGCGCCATCACGCCGCCGATGATGCCAAAGAGGATGGCGAAGGTCACTGGTCCCACAATCTCCTGAGCGGATGATGAGACGAATCACTCGGAGAGACGGCAATAGGCATGGCCTCCACCCATGTCCAAGCTAATAGGCATGGCCTCCAACCTAGAAGTGATGGCCTCCACCTTAGTAGTGAGCAATCTCCTTGGGATATGACAAGGATGACTCAGAAAGATGGCTACAGCACTGTTATATTGACCACTACGGCTACAGCTACAGTTATTGACTGATCAGGCCAAGGGTGGTTATATTTATTTTATTGGTTAATGTAGGCGCAAGATATGACAGTCTGCACAACAAGTTCAGCCACCCCAGAAAGGTGCATGACCTGTGCTCTTCAGCCCCTCCCACGATGGACCGTGATGGACTTCAGCCCGATCGTTCCCCACGTGATTTGATCTCTTAATGGAAATCTTATAAACTTGCGAACACAATCTCTCTTCACATCTCTCCCATCGAAGTGGACGTCCTATGGTGTGGGAAGGCCAAGTTACAATGTCTTCCTTGGAAGCTACATCTTCTTTGTCCAAAAAAAGAAACATCAGGCTGCTCCAACCTCTCTCTGTTCCGCTCCTCCCTTCCACCCTCCTTGTCACTCACCTCATCGCGCCACCAATCCATCTGCTTCTTCCGCCCTCTTCGGCGAATGCCCACCGTCGGCCCCCTTCCAGACGCCCCCACCGTCGGTGTCGGGTCTTCGCGCCACCGAGCGGCTTTGAGGACCAGCCAGGCCAACAAACCGCCCAGCGGCTCGGACATGCCGGAGAGGAAGGCCCAAGCGAAGGCTTTACCTCGAGTGGAGTGGAATTGTTGGGGGTTGAGAGGAGTCCGACTCGTTTATTTGTTTTCGAAATGGAAGAAACGGATTGGTTTCGATCTTCACTGGTTGAGAAGAGTCCGGTTGTTCTTTTTCGGAATCGGCATTGGTTTGGATCCTCACCAGATGAAGATGAAGGAAGGAGAGAAGGAGATCGTCGGGTCTTCGGGTCGCAGCCACATGTTCGGTTGGATACATTTACACTCCGTTACACTCACACATCACATGGAGTCTTCCAAAAGGCCATGCCATCCACTTCCGAACGTGAGTCGGAGGGTCTAACTGATCTTCGCCAGCCAACAACGCGGCGTCCGCAAGCCGGAGACCAGCGGAGGACCCAGAGTGAGTGGATCGCGATTTCAGAGACCATGCAAAGAATACCCTTTTGGGGAGTAAGGATCCCAGTGTTCCGCAAAAGAAAGACAGTGCCCAACACCAATACTGTTTGAAGCAGAGAAAAAAAAGAAAAAAGAAGAACAGAGCGCTGGAACCCTCGACACCAGAGCGCCAAAAAGGGTGTTCTTAGTGTTCTTTTTCTTCTCTACTTCTCCTCTGGTTTTCAGCAGAGACACACCCCTACTTACCCTCTCGAGGGGAAATCTAGAGTGGTGGGGCTTTGCCTCACGGATCAAGAGGGTGAAAATCCATCATGATCAAGTGAAGTCCATTGGTGATCATGATGGATTCTGATGGATCTGTTCTTCTACTTTATATATCTACTCTTTCGAAAAGTAGAAGAAACCATCGTGCTCTGGACATCATTCCAAGCCTCCCTCGTTTTCGCGTTCTTGTTTTCTGGTGCCGTTTTCATATGTTTCATGTCCTCGTTTTCATGGCTGCCACTCGTCCAACAAGTAGAATCACACAACAAATACTTGACAAAATAGAAGACAGCATGTGTTGCATTGTGTTCTGCTTTCTTTTTACATGTAAAAAACTGATCCCTCCCTCCCACCTCGGTTCATAAAATGCAAATCTCCTGATGTCTCCTGGTCCACTACCTGGCCTCCATCCGACCGACCCCGGGAGCCGAACCAACCCTTCGGCGAACCAAACCCACGCGACGTCAATGCGCGGCTTGGGACTGGAGACGTGACCCTTCCCATGGAGGTGTCGATGTTTCTTTGATGGGGTCAATTCATGTGCCTAGAACCTGGTCATGACCTCTATTTTGGACCACCAACCAACCAAAATACGGCCAAACTTCCAATCAAAACAGGGGTCAATTGGGTTCCAGGTGGGTACAGGTCATGTTTCATAACGGGGGACCCGACCGGGACCTGGGAGGTCAACATACCACGGATTGGGTCCGGGGTGGTTTTGACCCACAGCCACTTCTTTCTCCCATGGATGGTCTGGGAATGTGGATGTAAAGGTTCTTTCTTCCTTCTGCTTCGTCCACTCATGAGCCCCCCAATCCACTTCCACCCCGGTCTCCACTGCCAGGTGCATTTGCTGTTCGTGGCCTTCAAAATCGGCGCCGCCACCGCCAAGCCTGCGTCCCGCGGACGTCGTGGTCGCGAGAGTGGTCGTGGTTCCGGCGCAGAAGTGGTCGCGGTCTCGACCGTTGACCGAGCGTGGTCTCGCAACAGAAAAGCCGGCGTCACAGGGGCGGAAGTCTTCCGTCTCCCTCACTCAGCTTGGACCCGGTCGATGGAAGTGAACCCGGTAGAGATCTGGATTGGGTCCGGGAGTCCGGACCCCTCACATCCGGTCCGGACCCCTCGACATCTCCTGACCCAAAAGGAGTGTCAAATCGTGGTGAAAAAACCGTGGTTTGGGCCGCCACCCACCTGTTTGGTATTCGGAAAATGGTTCTAGATCCTTTCAGAGCCATTCTCCACTTCCATGGTCTCAGGAAGAGTACCGGCAGTTGTTTCGTCCCCTGAAATTAGGCCAAGATTCGCACCTCCCTGGCAAGGCCTCTTCTTTGACCGACCAACTGGGCTGGGGGTCCCTCTACCAAGTAGGTCTTCATCAAGGTCTTCGTGAGGGGCATGCCAGTCATCAGAGCACGAGCGAGTTTGGGTTTTCCGACTTCGAACCATCCGAGGTGTGGACTCCCGCGGTCGAACCGGCCACGGAAAACCGGGCAAGAACGGCCAGAACAGCTCGATCCGAAGGAAACGCCAGTTCCAAGTCGGGGTGCGGACTCCATGTCGTCGGGGTGCCCGGTCGTCACATGCACTCGAAACACCACCCCGTTGTGACTCCTGGAAGTCTTTCGGTTGTGTCTTGACCGACTCCACCCGACTCTGTCTTGATCGACGGGTGAAACCGCGAACTGCACTTGGCTCAAGCTAGAAGAACAAGCGGTTTGTGCATTGTACTGCCGACTCCCAATCTTCCCCCACCCATAAACATCAGAATCATACAGGGTTATATACCAAGCAACCAAAAATTTCCCAAAAAGCACCCAAACTGACGCACCCCCTAACCTCGAAATCCCCCAACTACCCCGCACCAAAACCGCACCAAAACGCCGGATCTCCTACCGGATCTCCCCACCGGCTAAGCACCGAGCCCTCTGCCTGGGCGCCACCCGAAAAAAAAACAACAAAACCGCTGCTAAAACACCGCGCCGCCCCGGAGACGTGCCCCAAACAAGCCCCCCATACTGCCCGCTGCCTTCGGGGACGTTGTGGATGGCGATGGCGAAGGCCATGGGCACGCCGAAGCCCGGATCCGCCAGCGTGGCTACGAAGGTCGCCAGGCCTGGGGCGGCGCTGAGAATGGACCAGTGGAGATCCCAGATAGTAGTAGTGTAGGGTAGTCCAGCCAGGACACCCCAATGGTCGGATGGTCCTGGTATGTGCAATAAACAAACAAGCGTTTCCACTTTCCTCTACATTGGGGCGATTCCCAGAGAACTGGGCACATACCAACCTGGAAGCCTCACTTTGCGGCAAGATGGGAAAGCGCATACAGTACCTGTGATGTCGGTTCAAGATTCACAGCTTTTTCGACAAAAGACTGGGAATTACAGAAGATCCGAAACAAAAACACCTTGTACCTCAGTGGAAGTATAAGTGCATGGTTCATAACAATTTCATAACCATGTTCTGTAGGTCTGCAAGACAGTGGACTGGTGCCTACGCGTGGTCTATACGTTACACAGTACTCCTCACTCATCCAATGCAATCCTGGCTGGTCCGCGCCTTCCGGAAAGTTGTGCAAGGCAATGGCGACGCCTGAAAAGGCCGCCATCTGAAGCATGTTCCTCAAGCGCACCGAGATCGCGGCACGGCGCGACGGCGCGTCAAAACGGTGCTTCTCCTGCAAGAATGAACCCATTGGAACTGCCCATACTGCCACATCTCTGGCTTTGGGCATCTCAGAATCATCTGCGTGGAAATCGCGTGATATTCGTCATACTCTGACAACTTCAGAAACTCACTGGCACCGTGTGCCTCCTTCGAATTCACGAACATGATCAATTCCATCTGTCGAAATTTCCAACTCGACGTGTCTCCCAGTTTTGGAGCCATACAGGCCATCCTTGCTAGGCTCTCGGATCCTCCTGTCTCTTGGATCCTTCTGCGACGCACTGGCCAGGCCATCTCCACCTGCCCACCCCCTTCACCCCAAATCGAACCACGGACACCGCGCAAACCCCGCGCCTTTCGCTCGCTCGCTCCGCGCCGCCCAGCACCGCACCGGTCCGACCGTCTCTCAGGTCCCAGTCGCACGCGCTCCATACCACTCAGCGGCTTGTCACTGCCCTCGACCAGTCGACATCGGTCGGACCGTGCGACGGACCGGGCGACGAGGAGGGAGAGGTCGACCGTGCGACGGCACTCCGTCCTGCCGCGGGCATCGAAAGATAGAGGTGTTGAAAGGATCACCATGGTCCTTCTATTTCAGTGTCCTACTCAAAACCATGGTCACTGTTGGTGTCCTGCGAAAAACCACGGGTTATAGTGAATTGTCCCACGCAAAACCATGGTTCGTGAATAACCTTTCACCATTTCCCCTGTTGGTTGTTGTAATTTGGGCCGGTTGCCACGCCCACCTACCTTGCTGGGTGTGGAACCGGACCCGGTGTGGAACCCTGGTGTCCGGGTCCAGACTTTCGGTGGCTGAGATGTGAAGTGACACGTCGACGCATTCTCTGTGAGACAAGAAAAGCCCCCACATGCCAACAAAGGTTTTTGGTGACCTGAACTAGGACCCGCCACCTGCGGTACCTATGGGATAGTCGAACTAGGGTTCTTCGACCTCTGTTGGTGGATTGTAATTATAGGACCGGATAACCCCACATGTGAACAACTTCGAAAGATTGAGGCTGCAGGGGTAAAGTGCGGAAGAGTGAGCGTGGGGAAGAGACAGGCGAGACAGATATAAGGCGTGCGGGTCTCTGTGTGTACTTGAGGTGTGTGTTTGTGTGTATGCGCTTGTTCGTCAGTGTGTATCAGTGTGTGAGTGGATGTATGCTGCTTGGCGCTTGTACTAAAGTTGTACTAGAAAGTCGCCAGTTCTCATCTTCCAGCTCCCCAGATACTCCGCGTACTAAAGTTGTACTACAAAGTCGTCAGTTCTCAGCTTCCAGCTCCACAGATTGCTCCGCGTACTAAAGTTGTACTACAAAGTCGCCAGTTCTCATCTTCCAGCTCCGCAGATACTCCGCGTACTTAAAGTTGTACTACAAAGTCGCCACTTCTCATCTTCCAGCTCCGCAGATTCTCCGCGTACTAAAGTTGTACTACAAAGTCGCCAGTTCTCAGCTTCCAGCTCCACAGATGCTGCGTGCCTGGCACGAAATCTGCACATGGAGGTTCACAAAGTGCTGTGCCTGCCACGAAATCTGCACATGGAGGTTCACAAAGTGCTGTGCCTGCCACGAAATCTGCGCATGGAGGTTCACACAGTGCTGCGCCTGCCACGAAATCTGCGCTGTGCCTGCCACGAAATCTGCGCATGGAGGTTCACAAAGTGCTGCGCCTGCCACGAAATCTGCGCGTGGAGGTTCACAAAGTACTGCGCCTGCCACGAAATCTGCGCGTGGAGGTTCACAAAGTACTTCGCCTGCCACGAAATCTAAAGTTGCACTACAAAGTCGCCAGTTCTCATCTTCCAGCTCCCCAGATACTCCGCGTACTAAAGTTGTACTACAAAGTCGCCAGTTCTCATCTTCCAGCTCCCCAGATACTCCGCGCACTAAAGTTGTACTACAAAGTCGCCAGTTCTCAGCTTCAAGCTCCCCAGATTGCGCCGCGTACTAAAGTTGTACTACAAATTCGCCAGTTCTCAGCTTCCAGCTCCACAGATTGCTCCGCGTACTAAAGTTGTACTACAAAGTCGCCAGTTCTCATCTTCCAGCCCCGCAGATACTCCGCGTACTAAAGTTGTACTACAAAGTCGCCAGTTCTCAGCTTCCAGCTCCACAGATGCTGTGCCTGCCACGAAATCTGCACATCCAGCGCCGGTGCCCAGCCGACGCCAGGGCGTACATCCGACCCCTTGGCAAGCAGCAAAGTGCTGTGCCTGCCACGAGATCTGCACACGGAGGTTCACAAAGTACTGCGCCTGCCACGAAATCTGCACATGAAGGTTCACAAAGTGCTGCGCCTGCCACGAAATCTGCACATCAAGCGCCGGTGCCCAGCCGACACCAGGGCGTACATCCGACCCCTTGGCAAGCAGCAAAGTGCTGTGCCTGCCACAAGATCTGCACACGGAGGTTCACAAAGTACTGCGCCTGCCACGAAATCTGCACATGAAGGTTCACAAACTGCTGCGCCTGCCACGAAATCTGCACATCCAGCGCCGGTGCCCAGCCGACGCCAGGGCGTACATCCGACCCCTTGGCAAGCAGCAAGGTGCTGTGCCTGCCACGAGATCTGCACACGGAGGTTCACAAAGTACTGCGCCTGCCACGAAATCTGCACATGAAGGTTCACAAAGTGCTGCGCCTGCCACGAAATCTGCACATCCAGCGCCGGTGCCCAGCCGACGCCAGGGCGTACATCCGACCCCTTGGCAAGCAGCAAAGTGCTGTGCCTGCCACGAGATGTGCTGCGCCTGTGAGTGATGTTGTGTGTGTGCTGTTGTGTGTGAGACGATGTTGTGTGAGTGATGTTGTATGCAAGACGTTGTGTGTGGGATGTTGTCTGAGTGATGTTGTTGTGAGAGATGTTGTTGTGAGAGATGTCGTGTGAGAGATGTTGTGTGAGAGAGGTTGAAGGAGGAAGGAGGAAGGAGGGCGGAGGAGGAGCGAGGAGGTGCAGCAAAAAAAACAAGAACCCCACACAACAATGTGGGGAAAAACTCTTTTTTCAGACCTGGGGAGCTTGCAAATGACTCCGTCCGTCGGACGTCCATCCAATGCTACGTCGGATTGGTCAGGCTCTCAGGCACTGGTACGAGTGCCTCCGCATCGTAGGGATTGTTCATGTTTTTTCAAAGTCTCGGGTGTTTGTTTCGCAGGAACCGCAACGGGAGCAGCTGCCGAGCAGTACCTTTGGGGGAATGTGGTCATCTGTTGTTTCACCCTGTAGTCGGCCACGGAAGAGAGACTTTCTGTGGCTTGAGGAATGCCAAAAAATAATCACCCAGGGTTTTGACCCTCACAGCCAGGGTTTGGGACCTCAAACATGTAGCAGTTGGTTCGGGTCCATGAGCCTCTGGGCAGTATAATTCTTTGTGGGTTTTGAATGCCTTCCCATTTCGTGGCGAACCTCGCGCCGGTCCCCTTCCGTCGGTGGAACGTTCCACCGCCTGTCGTCGTCGAAGCGGCCACGAAGGGGCCACGAAGCGGCGGCAATCGCGCCTGGGCCACGGCCACCTCCACATCCGCAGGCGCAGCCTCCTGCGCCTTTGGGCAAAACGTGTGTTGTCCAACAAATTAAGGGGACATGAGTCGAAACCGCTTTTGGGTGGTGGGACAAACCTGTCTCCGCCTTGGAGAGCGCCTGGAAGGATGCCGGCACACCGTGCTGGTGACGTGGATGGAAGGACCGGTCCGAACGGAGCTCGGGGCCCGCCCTGGTCGGACCCTCAGATCGAGGGGGTCTGGGGTCGAACCAATCCCTATAGGTTTTGAGGGACCAGTCGGGCTGTGAACGGAGCGTCTGGGTGGGTGTACTTGCAGGCCTGGAAGTCCAAGACTCAATGGTCTTCAGGTGGAACTTCCCTTACTGGGCAGAATATAGTCGAGCTGGACTACTAGGGTAAATATACCTGGAACCCAATTGACCCCTGTTTTGATAGGAAAAGGCCGTATTTTGGTTGGTTGGTGGTCCAAAATAGAGGTCATTCAGGTTCTAGGTGTATATATATATATATACCGTGGTTTCAAAGGTTCGATGGCACAACCCCCAAGACGTCTTTCAAAAAAAGAGATGTCCATCTTGAAGCTCCGTGACACTTGGCGGCCAGGCCACCGAACCTCTGAAACCACTGGATCGAAATCTGCACACTTTCGCAGATGAACATGGAACCCCCCCCAAAACCACTGGGTTGGTATTCGGAAAATGGTCGAAACCCATGGCTTCCATGTTCGTTTGGAGGTTAAAATATCGTAAGCACTGACGCCCTCAAACTCAACGACCAGCCCGCAGGCCGGACGCGGCGTCTACGCGTGAGTCCACGCCACCGCAGAGTCGACCAGTCGATTGAGTCGATGCGAAGTGTCACGCGAGCGAGAAACCGCAGCGGAGGAGACGACTGGAGCCCTTCCTTTGCTGGTGCCCCAGACCACGAAATCATGGGGCTTTTGGGCCGTTCGTCCGTCCCCTCAGAACCCTGACCATGTTGCTATACCAAAAACACAGGTCGAGTCCCCTCCATTTCAGGGAGAAGGGCCCAACGCTGCAGATCTCGTTTTCGGGGACCGGTCCGCCACGGCCGCACCAAAGGCCGCAAATGAAGTATTTCGTGGTCCCCAAATAGAGAGGATGGCACGGGTTCCAATCCATTCTGAACACGGGGATCTACTTTTCTACTTGGGGGATCTTGACATGCATGTATTCCGCAACGAGCCGAATGTGACCTCTATTTGTGACCACCAACGGTGGACTGAAGCGAATTCAGCGGGGTCGGAACGCCTGGGAAGTTTCCTGATTTTGATACATACCCATTTCTTGGGTAAAATAACTCTTACAACAAGCACGAATGCACGAATATATTCCATTACCAGTGACACTGGATGGTTAGTTGCAGGCCGACATCTCAAAAATAGTGATATGAAGTGTATATACATAGATATATATATATATTATCTGTATGTATATACGTAATTGTTTACAAACTGTTGCAGGTAAAGGGACAAAATCAATCCATTTCTTTCCAAATCTGGGGCCCGGGACGGTCTTGCCCCGTGTCAACCAACGGTTTCCCAGCCCCGAGTGCATCGAATTAAACAAATACCATGAAACCTCTTCAACTAGAAGTGGTATACATATAATGAGCAAGTGGT